TAAATGATTCATAATAATGATAACTGCACTTGCGATTAAAATTTGTGATCCGCAACCACAATTTATTACTATTAAATTTTTTTGTGAAACTTGAGTCCTTACAATTGAACTTATGCAAAAGTTTTAGACAAGAAACCACGAAATTTGTGTCAAAACGATAAAAACTTACACATTACCAATACATAGGTTCTTCTCCTTTGCGCCCATCAAATTTAGCCGTTTCAATTGTTGCTTTTATTTGTATTAGGCCTAATGATGTGTAGTCTACTCTAGTTTTTTTGGATTGTCAATTATGGGTCCTCTGTTTTAAATATTGGGGCTTTAGGATAAGCTTTTATTTGTATTAGGCCCAAACATAACAGGAAGTTTTGTTTCCTAGCTTTTTGATAGTCCATAAACTTTTCCCTGCACATCCCATACGATATAGTGACATAGGAATAGCAAGAAGAGCACTCAAAAAATAAATTAGTTCTTAGCAATCCACAATTTCGAGTTAAGTTGCCTCTCAAAGTGGAATTCAGGTCTCCTTCCGCTTTGCTGAGGTCAATAGAGTTGGTCTATTTCTGTTGGTCATGAAGTTTCGGACTTGTCACCTTTGACTGTATGAATAGTTATCATGACACCTCTCATGTGACATAGGAACTTAATTGTACAGAACATACTCTTCGAGGTCAATGATTTCCTTTCTTAAGTTGGAAGAACTCTGCTGTGTCAATTGTTAAAGGGACTGTTACATCCTATCATTCAGCTGCTCAACTCGTTATTTTAAATGTACAACATCGGTGTACTCATATAGCTTATCCACATCTCGTTCTCGTTGTTGCTATCTCCTTGACGGCATGGTCAAGAAAGCGATAGCCGAGCTCGATACTAAATGACGTAGCAAAAACTTATAAAAGAATGATAATTACCGTTGATCCGATATTCGGATGACGGTCTACCGTAATCTGTTGATTAGCATACAAATATCATAGAATAAGCTTCAATTTTATTGATTCAAAGAATGCCGACAATTGAAAAATTTGAGATACTCTCTAATAAAATTTATTAAGCAAGTAAAAATAGCATTTTTCAATCTAAACGTCTTACATAAATAGTAAATTTTAAGTTAAAACCCTAAAACAATATGAAAGTTTAAGTAAAAATCCTAAAACAATTTGAAAGGAAAACAAACACTAAAAATCTGAAATTAAGTAGGAAAAATCCTAAAAACTCGTTATCGTACGAACAGATTAGTAAATTGTTGATTTGAGGGTCTAAACGATGTTTTTTTGTGAAAATAACATGTACATCATAGGCAAAGCATATGTGTTTTGATTCTTGGCCCGTTTCCTATGAAACAATTCCAAAAAACCCCAAAAATCAGCCCAAAAATCTCCGACTCCCGTCACCATACCCTGCCGTGTTGCTTCATAAATTCTAAAGCCATTTGGTCCACATCATTCTGTTTATCAAAATTGCTTCACAATTAATATAAATGCTAAATTAAGAGATTTTGTTGGGATTCGTGGATCCAAGTCTCTTTTCCAACAACAGAGAGATTGCTAATTAAACATTTGAATTTTCAGGGGAATAGGCCGAAAAGCCGGTCAGCTCTAATTAAGAGATGAGGCAAAACAAGCAAAGCCCATTCATGATCTAGATAAGTCTACAGACACATAACACCATCAAAGGCAGATCATTTAAAAGCAGTCCTCAACAGCATCCAAGCAACAGAGCATTTCCGATTGAAGATGCTGGGTCCATAGGTTGACATGGCGATCTTAACCAGGAGGGGAAATTGCAGAAACATGAAAAGTGTGACAGGAACAGAAGCAAGCAACACGATTGGAATGATAACCTCCATCATTCCTTCCAACATAATTATAAGAGCAGCACAGAAGGCAACCATCATAGTTGCAATAGAAATGAACAATGTGGAAAGGCCGATTATCAACTTTGTGGGCAAGGAGGTGAGAAAATCTTGCTCCTCATAACGAGATGTGAGGATTCCCAAGAACATCAAAACTGAAGTTGATGAAGCAAAGAGAGAAATTGTATCCGATATAATGAAAGTCATGAAACCCCTCTCGTGTAAAAAAACCGGAATGCCTTTGTCTTGAACATTACCACCCGGAACAGTGAAAGCTGCAGTAAACATAATGGTGATGATTAAAGCACCCACCACTGTACAAGAAGTTGCAGTGCCCTTCATCCATTTCTCCCCTTCTCTCACCAACTGCTTGTGATGCTTAGTAAATAGTTGGTCAGGAGTTTCACCATTGTGGTTGCGAATAGATTTAGTTATAGGATAAACGATCCTTTCCACTTCCTGCACAAAAATCATTAAGCTGCAAGATATGAACGTTACGAAACACCTTGTGCTTGGTCAATTAATGAGATATATGCACTCAGCAGTTCAGAACAAAACGACTGGCTAGGTTTATTATTTTAAATAAAGACTGAAAAGGACACGAGGACTAATGTTCCAGGAGATCGTCACCTTGTACCACTGTAATTCTCTCTGCATCTGAAGAGCTGCGCCTGAGATTCGAGCTAATCGAGAGGCAGGTGAAAGCATTCCGGCCAAATGCAACATTGTATTGCCGAATTTATCTACAACAAAACTTTGAAGTGTGGGTAACTTATGAGCAAATAGGCTGAAAACCATTTCTTGACGATTTACAATTGAGCACATCACTGCATTTCTATCATCCTGGTCCGAAGTACCGTAAACAAAAGGTGAAACTTTAATGATTGCAACAATCATCTCAACTAAACCATGCTCAACTGCATTCCTGAAATATTCTGGAACTCCAATCTCATTATGTTTACTCTCATCTAATGTTGATATACGTCCGCAGATTTCGCGTAGAAGTTTTCTAGAACAGACATGGGTCTTCTTCAAATCATATATTTGCTGAATACCTAGTTTCAAAAAACCATAAATGTACAGAATCAGAGTAATATATTAAAGGGGAGCTAATTAATTCATGATACAGGAATATTAATAATGATCTTATTATGTTATAGGACACATTACGTACCTAAGAATCGGAGGAAATTTACCCGAAGTCCGCGCAATTTTCCTAACAATTCAAAATGTGAGGAAAAGAAACATTAATTTTATAATTATTTCTGCATAAGAAACAGATATATAGAACTGCATATGAGTTGAGGATTGTGCTCTCACATTATCCGCATTACAGTGAGTAGATCTGGAAATTTCGTCTAAAAGATAGATGAAACACTTTACATAAATTCAGTAGTCATTTTAAGATAAAAAGACATTGGAAAAACATCCCATTACATAAAAATAAAAATTGAGCCATTATCCGTATTTATTATACTGCGGTGAAGTTTTGAAACAAGGGGTTGTTTTTATTTATTTATTTATTTATAATAATCTATGTTGAGATTGCTAAATACTCAAAACATCAAGATGGAGTAGAACTAAAATAAATATTTTTCATTTATCAAAATATCAAAGGAGTGCACATATATAGCTTTTTTACCTTGTTGCATAATGATCTTGTTGTCGCATTCGCTTTCATCGAGATCAATATGAGTATGATCAAGACCATCGTGGAGAATGGTTGGTTCAGCATCAACATGTATACCTTTCACGAAAACTTGACTTCATTAATATTTATCTTCAAACACATTAATTTAGAATACATTATAAATAATTCTCTTTAATTTTGTAAAATAAATTAAATTGTTTCTATGAGTATCACTGTTGATTATAATTAATTTAATAATATTATTTTTTTTAAAAAAATCTTCTTTTCTCATCAAGCTTTTCATCTTTTTTACTTTTTTTTCTTGAAACAAAAAACAAATAAATTGTAAAAATTTAAGTTAAAGATAGATTTAAAAACATAGAGACTAATGAATTAGTTTTTAAAACTAAATAGACTATTTAATTCATTTACAAAATTTGGAGGGAATAATTTATAATTTACTCTATTAATTTGTTTTACTTATTAATCCGTACACTATTTAATATTGAATTCAAATGCTTATGTTAAGTGGATTGGAAATTGGGATTTATAATCATTATCAAATCTTTTGAAAAAAAGAATAATTGAAACGTGTATAATCTGTAAGTACAAGTGATGAGAACTTTATTTAAGACATAAAGAGGCATTAATTGGATATAAGTTTCATTCTTTGATAGATTGTGTATATAACTCTTACATGCAAAGTCTCTTTCTAAATTCAAAATGCTAGTGTGATATGAGACAGTTAGTAAAAAAAAAAAAAAAAAAGACCAAATATATGAAGTTTCTTAAAATTAAATAAATAAATAGAGATAGAATGTTTAAATCGATTCTAGTTGAATTTTCACTGTTTCAGGAGTAGTGATATCGATTGTTTAGACTAGTAATAATAATAATTAAAAAAAATAAAAATTGAGAGAGATCAAAATATACTTACATAAATAGATCAATAATTTCCAAAATCCAAGTTGACATCCACTTGGAAATAAGTCCGGTGAAGAAGACAGTAGCCCCAAAGCAGAGCTATTATGAAAAGCATCCCTAGCAGTAGCAGAACTAGGACAACGGTAGAGTATTGCCAAAGCAAGATCTGGTATTATATCATGCAAAGAAAATAATAGTGATAATTATGTCATTTCAAAAGCTAATATATAAATAGGAAAAAGAAAAAAACAACTGGATAAAAAAATCATTTTAATTTAAAAACTATAGAAAAGATTTAATATTGATTTAATATATTGTGATGTACCATATCCCATATCGGTTTCTTCTACTATAGTAATTTTTTTTTAAAAAAAAAAAAATTCTGAAAGGAAACTTTCAGATCTATCATACAAGTATGATTTTGATTTCCAAATTAAAACAGGTGTGATATAAATATTGTCTAACATATGGTGGTGACCAAAAGATTTTCACGTGTTGGACAACAGAATATATATATATATGGTGAGTTTGCTTAATTGTGTGCTAAGCAACCGATCGATATTAATTAATTTCTGACATTTGAAATGAAAGCGACTAATGAGGGAGCGCGACACTCTTACCGAACATTTTGGAAGCTATAGCACATTGGAGGAGTGCAGACCCATTTTCTTCAGATAGTAGATGGGAAGGAGTTTTTGAGAGAAGATAGACGGTCATATCCCTTCTAGCACTTCCACAAGCCAATATAACTGGGATAAGTCGCCAATTATCTGTAATGGCGACCAAGTTTTCATTCTTTTCAACCATGTATCTAGCCATTGTTGTGATTCCTTTAGTAGCCGCATGATGGAGGGGTGTTCGACCATCAACATCCTGTATCGCCAAGGCTTCTCGAGACATTGACTCCACCAACTTTCTCACAATCTCCACTTTTCCAGCAAGAGTTGCTACGTGAAGGGCTGTGTCGCCAGTTGATGTAATCTTTTCATTTATTACATCTGGATGGTCGCCAAGAAAGCTTTCTACGGAATGCCAATCACCTCCAGTAATGTACTCGACTAGTTCAGGAGCCCCAGTGTATTCAGAGTCAACCAATCCTGCCAAAGTTGTTTTCCGGATCTTAAACAATGAGTTTAGATAAATAAGTGGAGAAATAGTTAAAAAAAATTAATGTTCTGACAGTACGTACTCAGATATACACAACGCATATTAATTAATTTCTCTTGTTTGCTAGCTTTTTGCATCTCTCTCTGAGTACAAAATTTTGAGCATATATAAACATAACCTAACCTTATGCTCTTATATGGATCGACGTCTGCGTTAAAAGAATAAAAGACTGAGAAGCTTGTTGGAATATTAATTACCTTCTGTTTCGAATACGAATGGGTTTCTGAATGAATTTTTTAGCAAAGTATCCCAAGCAGTTTTGGCAGTTTCGGCTGACCCGGCTTTCCTAATCTCAGAATATATATCAGGCCTACATGAAATTTGAATGGCATGTAAAGCTGTAGCATTTTTTTTCATCCAAGCATTAAATTCGGCTACAGAAACAGCTTGATCAGGAGGTTCAGTACTATTTGGCCCTTTAATAATATCCCAGAGATCTTGAGCCAGTAGGTAGTTTTTCATGCAGACACTCCAATCATCGTAGTTATCTTTTCCCAGGATTTCAGGAACGATAGCACTTGCCATGCTTAATTATATATAGCCTGTTAATAGAAATTCCGAAGCTTGATTAATTATAATCAGATGTATTAATAGATTAATTTTGATGAATGAGAATAATTACTATACGGGCATTGAAATTAAAGCTAGTAAGTTGGTACCTGGATGCCACTGTTGGGTAGGAATGATAATGCATACAGCAGCTACTTGCTACTTGATCGGCAGTTTTACTCATAAATCTCCCTTTTTATATATATAAGGCAATGATAGAATCGAATAGGCTTGAGAAAGGGCCTACAGATATATATACCTTTATTCTCTGCTGGAATAAATCTGCCCTACATGTCATTAGGAACATGACCGACATAGCCCCTTGCTAAGGCATGCATGTTTTTAACTTTGGAGATTTACTTTAACTAAACCCAATTTGGAAAACAAAAGGAGATTTATTTATCTAGCTTCCCTTTTTCCTTTATGCGGCAAACAACAAAATTTGAACACGTTTTTTTCAGTTATCTAATTTGGAATTTTTTTTTTTTTTTGTATGAAAAATAAATATATTTTCTGGTATGTTTGTGAAAAAAAGAAAATTAAAAGTAAAGCAGGCATTGGGAGTTAGAAAATAGAAAATAGTTTCTATTTTTTTTCAGATAAGAAAAAAGAACAATTTTGAGCATGATTGATCATCTCAATTGAGAGAATATATTTTGCATCCAAATAATTCCATCACTCCTATGCGTATTGATCTGAATATATATGAGATGAAGTTTCTCATCGAAGCAACTGATCACGAATTAATTTGATGTAATCTCTTACGTTTATTTCGCTTTGTTATCCTAAACAATATTCTTTTCTTTGCATTTTATACTCCTTTTCAAAGAACAAGCAAAGAACATACTACTTTTCAATAATTAAGCAAAGAACATCAAATTTGCAAAAACAAAGCGACCAAGTTTCGCACCTCAATGAAAGAAGCAAATTTAGAGGAATACGAGTAAGGAACGTCATGGCAAATATATGTTAGCCTTACTTTGTTAGAAATTTTGAATTTCCCATCTCATGATCAAATTTTGTTTAATGTTAATTTACTCAATTATTATTATTAAAAAATAATAATAAACTACAAGAAAATTGACAATTAGCGATGGATATCATTTTGTCTCTAATAAGCAACAGATTAACGAAGAATTAGCAACCAACAAGAAAAAGTTGATGTTTGTGACTGATTAGTGATAGACTAGCGAGAGAACATCAGCAATGGAATCAATTCCGTCTCAAAATAAGGCGGCAAAAAAAAAAAAAAAACTCCTAGTTCAACGATGGATTTTCATCACTAACTTAGCAACAAAAAAAGATCTATCACTATCTATCGTTAAATACAATTTGGTAATTCAAATTAGTGACGGATGGCAATCTGTCGCTAATTTAGACTTTTGGGGGGATCTCCCAAAAAAAGAGCCAAATTAATGAAAGATTGGACATTCGTCGCTAATTTGGTGGATAAATTTTTTGGACATATATATAATATAATTTAAAATGCTATTATTTTATTTCTTTAGTAAAATTATCAAATTAATTTGATGCAATCTCTTACATTTATTTCGTTTGGTTATCCTAAACAATATTCTTTTCTTTACATTTTATACTACTTTTCAATAATCAAGTAAAGAACATCAAATCTACAAAAACGAAACGACCAAGTTTCGCATCTCAGTGAAAACAAATTTAGAGAAATAAGAATAAGGAACTTAATGGTAAATATACGTTAGCCTTACTTTGTTGGCAAGTTTCGAATTTTCCATCTCATGATCAAATTTCGTTTAATGTTAATTTACTCAATTATTATTATTATCAAAATATAATAGTAATGTTTTTTATGATAAATTTTTTGGACATATATATAATATAATTTAAAATGCTATTATTTTATTTCTTTAGTAAAATTATCAAATTAATTTGATGCAACCTCTTACATTTATTTCGTTTGGTTATCCTAAACAATATTCTTTTCTTTACATTTTATACTACTTTTCAATAATCAAGTAAAGAACATTAAATCTACAAAAACGAAACGATCAAGTTTCGCATCTCAATGAAAGCAAATTTAAAGGAATAAGAGTAAGGAACTTAATGATAAATATACGTTAGCCTTACTTTGTTGGCAAGTTTCGAATTTTCCATCTCATGATCAAATTTCATTTAATGTTAATTTACTCAATTATTATTATTATTAAAATATAATAGTAATGTTTTTGACGAGAAATTTTTTGGACATATATATAATATAACTTAAAAGGTTATTATTCTATTTCTTTAGTAAAATTATCAAATTAATATGTAATATTGAATAGGTATCACGAATTGCTACATGATTCATAATAATAATAGCTGCAATCGTCATTCTTATCTATTAAAACCCATGATCTGCAACCGCAATTTATTACTATTATCGTGATCACGATCGGCCATTTAAAACTATGCTTGCCACTTTGTCCCTTTTTTTGGCCCTGAAACTTACTTTGTCCCATTTTTGGGTCCTGAAACTTGATTCCTTACAATTGAACTTCTACAAAAGTTTTAGACGAGCAACCACGAAAGTTGTGTCTAAACTATAAGAGAAACCAGTTCGTCAGAAAATACTATCTGTTAAACAATTTTGGAGATTGGAAAATGCAAGTAAAACACATCTTTTTATGATATTAACGTACAGTGTTGAAACAGAAATTTCTAGACCGATTGCATGTAAAACATATCTTTTTCATTAATTCAAGTGTCTAAAAAAATCCTATGCCTCATAATTCTTTTTTTGTTTTTTTTTTAAGGGCTCCCTCAAAATTTATGATATAGTGAAAAATACCAAAAAAGAACCAAGTAGACTGGCATGCAGTTCTATAAGCTGCAGTGCCTCTCCGCAGTGCAAAATAAAGGATATTGTAGCTTTGATTTCTCCTTTGGAATGTAGCAGCAGGCTAAGGTTATTTGTTGGCCCTGAGTAAAATAAATCAACAAAGCAAAAAAAAAAAAAAAAATGATGTTACTAACAACAATTTTGCAAATTGTTTCTTAAATATTGTGAGCAAATAGGGCACAGATACGCAATAACGCAAAATCAGAAAAGAGGCCAGGCATGTGTCTATCTGTGCATTACAATTGTGGTTGTATGTAAAAGAAATGAGAAAATCTTTAGGACCTTAGACATGCAGAGTAATTAGAGATGGAAATGTCAAATTAAAAGAAACAAAGACCAGAACTAAGACAATTTCCAAATTTGGAAGTGGTGCAATCAAATTTACCTGGTAACGTACGAACCATCATCAGTATTAACAACAATTGCTTCTCCAGTCTCAACGTATACAGGTACCTGGTGTTTCAGAAGATAGATAAGATAATAATTAAGCTTTTAATATCTCATACCAAAACTATTGTAGCTGTTTAAGAATCGACACATTGTGTATAAGAAGACTCAAGATATGCGTGCAAGATCTAGTGTACCCTTAGACTTCAATATAAATCCAAAGTACATCTTTTTGATAATACAAAATACAAAGGTTTAGTTCCAGGAAAAAGTAAACTAAAACCGATTAACGTGCATGCAATGACTACATTAGTGTCAAAGTTTTATAGGCTCCAGCACCCATTTCACTCGATAAACCTAAACCTCTGTTTAAATACTCTCTGATCCTCAATTGCATTTCCCTGTTTGCTCACTGTACAGAGTAAGTTAACATTAACCTGAACCCAGAAAAAATGGAGTCTTACTTGAATAATAAGATCATTGTCCAGCACAGCTTTTTTGTACCTACATTAAAGGGAAGTGTTGAGAACACGTTTACAGCGACAAGCGAAAGCACACAAATAAACAAGCAGTCAAAAGGCTATTATTTGAGCATGTGAAACATAATACAAGATTATGAACTTAAGTTATTAATCATATAACTTATTTTTTAATTGAATTCTGATGTGCAGTCATAATCAAATATGAAGCGATATAAGATGGGGAGAAAAAAGATCATGAAAAAAACGGAGACCACAGAAAGCTGAACCACTGAAATACCAATCAACTGATACAATCTAAGCAGTCTTAAGTCTTATCACAATGGTTTCATGAACACCCAATTAAAGGTATATTCCCGAGTACAACTTGTAATAAACTATACTGCATGAATAGATCTGGGATTTTGTGGGTAACTTAAACCACAATGATAACCAAACTACAGATCGAAGAAAAGGAAGAGTGTGGTTTTTGCGCAATGTAACAAGTCCTTTGGCCAGAATTAGCTATCTCCTCCAAGAAAGATAATGCCAAATGTTAAACTGCTAATTCATTCATTTGCCTTGCTATAATTGAAGCAAGTTCTACTTCATTATAGTGAGAACAAGTCAATAATCAGAAATTCAGATGTGTAAGATGGCAATGTAATACAAGCATGTAAAAGCAAAACAAGTAAGATCGAGCACATGACAAGAATCTATGAGAACGCACAAATCAGCATCTGGCAGGTTGTGGAGCCTACCGAGGTGTTGCTGCATGATCTTGTGTCTCCTTAATAGTGCATGTCACTTGTTTTGGAACTGATCCAGACAAAGGTCTTCCATCAAATAACTGCAGTTTAACTTTCATTTCCTCTGTTCATCATGAAATTTGTATTCATCAGAAAGAAAGTTCATCGTGAAATTCCTTGATAGTCAGGTAGAATATTTATTGCAGCAGTTGATGATGAGCAATGTGATGAAGAAAAGGCAAGATTTGAACTTTTGACATGGGAGCAATATTGAAAAAATGAAGCAGAAATGACAATTACCGTCATCCATAACATTATCTTTAAAATTACAAGAAGCGGAAAGTCCCTCAAAAACCATAAATAAAGCGCATGAGAAAGCCAGGCAAATCTAGAAGATGCACAATATAACAAAGGCAGAAACCTTAACAAAGGCAGGGCTTTATGAAATACCAAATTTGGAATTTTACCTACCTTTTAGATATGCAGCAGCTTTGCCAAACAAGCTCAGTGGCACTTCGAGTTGCTCAAATTTCTCAAGGCTAAAATTATAAAAATAGGCATCTTTTCAAAATTTATAACAGACACATACCTGTGACTAAAACAAAAGATATTTCAAAGGAAAGGAATAGAATGTCTTGGGAGCTGGGAGAGGAGACAATATGACTCACTCTATTAGATATACTGATTCACGTTCTGTGTATAAACATGTGAAAGACCTCTCCTCAACAAAAACCCCTAAAGCAAGTTAAATAGGATTAATCTAGATTTCAAAATAACTTTTGACCTTTCAAAATGAAATGATTATATGTCTACATGAATCAAACAGCCTACATTAACAATAAATTTGATGACAGAAATGATGCGCATAAAGTTATGAAATACAAATGAGAAAACACCAATTTCTGAAATATCAATGTGCTCAAGTTTCATTCAAACTGATGCTTTTCCTGGAATATCCAAGAGGTTATTTCTACTGCCTTCACTGTTCTAGGGTGTTAAACTTCAATTTCTGAACTTGCAAATCCTAAAACTGTTGAAGCAAAAGATGTCTGATTTAGAGCACCAACCCACTACTAACAATATAGGTAGATAGCAAAAAGGAGATTTGCCAGTCCAAATGACCAAGATTTTGATTAACTATATGAGTGGATGTCAATGCAATATATTTCAATATGTACAAAAATGCATCATCTAACAACACAGGTCAAGAATTTAAAGTTGATAAACATACTTTCAACAGCCTCCTCTGTACCAAAGCGTAAGGTTTGTTTGTTTCCACTGTCAACATCTCGAAGCTCCAACTATGGCAAACGTAGCATATACAAACAAATGCAATTGATTCATAAAATTCAACCAAAATAAGGTCAGCCATGTCAGAGAATGGCAATGCCTTGGATATGCAATCCAATTATTCCACATTACAAATTAAGAAATAAATAAATTTAAGTGACAAAGTTATTTAACAATAAACAGCTTGCTGGGTGCAAAAGTATAATTACCAATGAGGCCAGCCACTCTGTGACTGAGCAAAAAATCAGCAACAATTTACTGGCATAACTAACATAGATATGTATCTTATCACTCCGAGCACGATCAAAATGCAACCTAATAAAACTAAACAAAGTTTGAACTCTCTCTCTCTAAACTTATTTTTTTGGGTTTAAATTATTCAATTTTCTACGATTCCCACTTTTCCATAAAAGAGTGTTTGACCACTGCCAGTTCTAAGAACCTCAATTTTCATTCAACTAACAGTTTCACAGCCTAATACATATACTATCCTGTTTCAACAAATCTAAGTTTTAAACATGAAGTAAATATCAAAGATAGAACCTTTAAATGTTTCAGCTTTCTAATAAACCCATTCAATCCATCAATCGAACATTCAAAACTCAACATTTCATGCTATAGCACGAACCCATTAAAATACCACCTCTACTAAACCCTAAAACAAAATCCAAAAAGAAGACACTTCAAATGCAGCATTCACTATTACAGTAATTTTGCTACCCATCAAACGTTGAAAGAAACTATGATAGTTGGAGTTCAAAATATATAAAAATACCGTCATAATCGCCCCTCCTCTTCCTCGCTGTTTATGCTCCGCATCCACCACCTAAATTAATCAACTTCCATAATCATAAATTCTAAATTATATCACACAATAATCCATTATAACAAACAAATGAAAATTCCATTACCTCAAAAATTCTTCCTGATATTTATTCACCAAATTTACAGAAAAAAAGGGAGGCAAAATCTTTAGTGTTCACATCCAAAAACAACAATTCAAAAAAAAAAAAAAGAAGCAAAAATGACAAAATTTACCTGATTTTTCAATCACATTTCCAGGTTTTAACTGCAATACAAAATCAAATTTAATTTAATTACTATTATCTCATAAAATCACCAATAATTTCAATTCAATTTTTTTTAAAAAAAGAGAGGAAAATAGACTAGAACTTTACATGAATTGCAGTGACTTTGGCGCCTCGGTGTTGGATTGCGAACCAAGGACGCGAGAAGACATTGCCGTTGGTGGTTATGGCAGTACCGTGACATTCAGGTGAGGATAGAGTGAGTGTAGTGAAAGTTCTAGAGCAAGAAGAAGAAGTAATAGAGGAGAAGGAGGATAAGAAGAGAGCACGAGAGAGTCTCTCGTTTAGTTGCAGCAAAGCTCGCATCTTTTAGTTTTTCCTCTCTTACTTTTTTAAGCTCTACAGATATTTGTGTTTGTTTGTCGAAATTGAAAACTGAAAGATTTAAGATTGATGTTGAGAAGTGAGAAGACAAAATAAAAATGGGAAACCTCAAATGGTCCCTAATGTATTTCCCAATTCTCATTTTAGTCCAAAATCAAAATATCTAGATCTTTGAGATAAAAACAAAAAAAAAAACAAAAAAAGAAAGCAATTTCACTAACGGTAACTAAATAAATTGCAACAAATCACTTATTTTATACTATATCTAAAATTGTTATAGCTTAGTAATATTAGTTGTAACATTTTTATAATATTTCTTACTCATTCAAGTACATGTTTAAAATTAATATCATAAGATTATTGTTTTTAAAATTTTGATAACTTATCATAATGAGAGATAAATAATACAAAAAGACGTAATTATAAAATTATAAGAAATTATTTATTTAAAAAATATTTTTTAATATTTAACTCTATATCACTAAAAAATTTAATTGTATACTTGAATTTGAAAGATAACTTAATAATAAAAAAAATATTTGTATAATAATCATAATTTCCATTAAGTTTTTTTTATTAAAAACACACATCAAAATATCATTGATGTATAAGAAAAATCATTCAATTAGGCATTAAAAAATAAAAATTTTGACCAAACAATTCAAATCAAAATAAAAATATTTTGAAATATGGTTCTATTCCAACTAAATTAACCCTAAAATAACATATCTAGATTATAAGAAAACCAATAGAATCGATACTTGCAGAATTTAAACCTTCCAAGTTCTTATATGTTTGAGTTGATAGTAATTTGACTGAAATGAGATACCAATAATAATTTGAGGACTAATTTGTAATGAGTCCCAAAAACCGTCAAAAGAGTCTAGAAAGAGAGAGAGAGAGGAGGCAGTGAAGAGGGGTTTTTCACGCAAAACACACCTGGCTCTGCCTCGAGCTCTGGCTGGGCTTGGAAAGGAATCCAACCTCTGCATAACTGCCATATAAGCTTCTTCAATTTTTATTATTCTTGCAAATAAATAATAATAATTAATTAATTATCTCGTCAGCGTCAGCTTCAGCTTCTTCGTCTTCTTCTTCTTTATAAGGTAAGCCAACCCAATCTCTCGCTCTGTCATGCTTGGTGATTACCTAGACAAGTCAATTCAGTTACGTTTCTCTCTTCTGAATCCGTTAATTAGGGTTTTTCCTTTTCAAATTTCACAAAACGGCGTCGATTTGTGGAATTGGTATTGCGAATTAACCACTTCACTGCTTTAACGTTTTTGCAGGTTGGAGAGAGTGTGTGCTTGGTAGAGTAAGGTGTTTTTGTTTTTGTTTCTTCATTTTTGGAGCTTTTACAGGTTGATAAAAAGGGAAAATGTGGACTAATGTGTTCAGAATTGTATGTATTTTTCTGTTCTTTTTTTACTTTTTCAGTTCTGTCGTTATTTGTTCATACTGAATACTTGATTGTCTCGTTGTTGTTAGTAATGAATTGCTCGTTATTGTGATTTTATTAATGTTGTTGGTGATGCTGTTGTTTGGAATCCATGCCTGGATGAGTAATTGAATGCGAGAAATGCTAATTTTGAAGTTATTGACGATTTGTGTTAGTTTATGTGATTGGATTTTTGAGTTTGATTGTTTGCTATATATGATGTTATTTAATCCAATTGTATGATCGGATTGAGGTTTTAAAATTTCTGACAAAACTAACTGAAAACCCATGTGGCATTAAATGTAGTACTCGATTTGTATAGAAGGAATCCGCGATTGCTACATATGGAGTTGGTTATTAAGATCATGGTGATGGTTGGTTAACGGATGTTAGGTTTTGTGGACTGGTATGTGGTGGATTTTGCTGGTTTAGTGATCAGGTTAAGAAGGTAGAATTAGGCTCTTGAGGATGTTTTTTTTTTTTTCCGTTGGTGATCGGGAGGGATTTTGTTTGGAGATAAAAAAATGTAATGCAAGCTGGAGAATGAGACATTCTTCTACAGGTCAAAAAAAGTAACCATGTAAAACGATAGTTGCATGCCCTCTAAAGATGCCCCTGTAATGATGCACGTGGCGGAATGCTAAAGTGATGCCAACCGAACTTCTTTATCCCAGATTAGATGAATAGACAAGTGCTGGCATTGAAAGACTCTAGTATTACACTCCTTCCAAATACACCAAACCTTTGCGCATATTGAGCAATTTCAAATGATCTTACTTCACTCCACTTTCTCAAAATCCTCTTCATGCATTGATAACAACTCTTCTCAGTTAGTGGGACAAACTTAATGCTTTTTGGAGATGAAAAATAACCTACTTTACTATTCCGGATCTTCACACCACAGAGCAGTGCAAGAGAATAGATTCTTCGTTTTCCCTTCTGTTCTTGAGTTTGCATCGATTCTTTTATGAACGACTTATTTTCCCAAAATGGTAGTAAAATATCAGAAGATCTTGGCACATTTCCGTCTAACGACTTTCTTCAAGTGGGTTTTATGTTCTTATTGGTTTCAATCTTTGTTATTGCTTTTCTTTTTTAGGTGTGGTCACATTTGCTCTTGCATGTAATGTTCTCTTGAATATCAGAATTTTATTCTGTCTGAATGCCTGATGAAACTTACCACCGAATTTGAGTCCATATTATAACAATTTGAACAGAATATTAGTTTTTATGCATGTCTTCTTTGAGTAATCTGTTAATAACTATCCTTCTTTTGCTCCATTTTTCTTTTTTCACTTTATCGACCATTTCTACAGGGTGGTCTTCATCATATATCATGGTTCCAGTTTCTCCCTAATGAATCTGATTTGAACTCTTTACCTGATAAGAGGCAAGAATCATTTGGATCCCTCATCTTTGCCTTTGATTTGATCTCAAGGCCATCTAAAACATTTGGAATGGTACTCACAGTAATGTGCTTAAAAAATCACTAATAGATATTTTCATGGTTGGACAGTGTAAAAGTAGAGCAGAAAGATGTTGCTACATGGCTTGTGCTTTCGGCTCATTTGCAGTTGCAGAAGGAGGGATTTCTAAGCACATGGACCAATTCCTTTGTTGGACCTTGGGATCCATCACAAGGTCTACATAATCCTGGTAAGAATTGCAATCAGTGGCCATCTACCAACCACATGGTCCTTACCCCCTGTAGGAAGGAGAAACAAATGAATCTGATCTATTGATCATGCATGGATTATGCTGTGTTTGAGTTCTGACTATGTTGGTTATATAACTGTCCAACAGATGAGAAAATAAAGCTCTGGCTTTTCCTTCCTGGACGTTGTTCATCTGTAGGTGATAAGGCTCAAGCTGCAGTGTCTAGATTAAGAGGTAACATATGTTTGTGAGTCTCTGTTGCTGCCATTCCCTTTATTTTATTTTATTTTTTTCTAAAATTCATTGTTTAATGATTCTTGTAGGTTATGAATGTCTGCTTTCTTCATTACCTAGTCATACTTTTTCCATCTCTGTTGTTCGCTTTTTGCAACCTTTGTATGGAATTTGCGTTACTGTTGTATAACTATAACATTATGAATTTAATTTCTTTCTATCTTTCTTTTGTAGTTGTTGCATCTGGAGTTTGGGTAGCTCCTGGGGACTCTGAAGAGGTTGCAGCAGCCCTTTCTCAGTCTCTGAGGAATTACATAGAGAGGTAAAGTTCTCTTCCTTTTCCTAGATACTAAGCATCCATCATATTTTCTGTTTGAATTACTTTAACCAAAACTATGTTGATATTTACAGAGCATTGGCCGGGTATTCATACATGAGGTTTGGAGATGTATTTTTAAAGTACCATCCATCTCAAAGTGAAGGACTTTCCAGGTTGAACATAATTATTTCTTGATTAGTTGTAATCATATTATAATGATAATGATTTTCATCACCAAAATCATGATATTGAGCAATTGAATGATTTTATCTACATTCTTTTGGTCCTTGCTTTTACTTTTTCCTAATTGTCATTCGTTTTAAAGCCAATTCCTGACAGAGTGAAAAGGTGTAATATTGTGTTTCAGAGTTGAACTTATGTTTGTTTTTAGTAACATAATTTGCTTGTATTCAGTGCTTTTTTTTTCGTTTCTCGTGCGTCTTTTGCAGGAAAGGACAGCCCACAATTGAATTCATCTTTTCCGCCTCTGAAGAGGCAATCTTTGTGCACGTGATAATATCTGCAAAGTTGGTGAAATTCCATAACTTAGTTTGTTTCTAGTTATGATGATTGCATCAATAACTCCCCTAATATACATGTTTAAATAACCTGTCTTTATTTGGTTTCAGGAATATCCGAGCACTTTCAAATGGTGATGTGGAAAGAGTGTTAAAACATTCTTCTACTAATTCCAGTTATAGGCTTCCAGGTTGGTGTATGTCATATGTTGGGACTCTTAGGAATGATCTTAGCTCATATTTTCCAAGAATATTAAGGCATCTTTATGGTGATTACAGAATCAGAAAGCCTTTTTATTTTTGTTTTGTTCATTATCTTAGGTCATTCATAATTTACGGGATGGTGTACAACAATGGTGCATGATGATTGGACTGAGTTATTGAACCACATCCCCCCCCCCTACAACCAACCCCACCCCCGGTTTAGAATTTAAGATTTAAGCAGTGGCTTTTTTCTTTTTTCTTTTTTTGCATCATTTTGAAGTCTCTTTGAATTTCCCCTTGCTCCAGGAATCTACTAGAGAGTTTTGCAAGTTAACACAAGTATAATAAGATAAGAAACCCCATCTAGTTGAGTTTGCCATTCTTGAATCATAGCTTCTGGATGGTGTCCGAAACAAGACAGACAGATATATGAAAAAAAGAGTGTCTTAACATGTGGATATGTTTTGAGAAGCATAAGAGAGAAAAATGTTTTGTCTGAGTCTGAATGACTACTTTGTTATACTTATAAGACAAAGCAATCACTGGAAGGAAATGCAAATAAACATAAAGGTGCATTTGACTGACTCAAGCTGACATCACTTTTCCTCATGGAGTGTGGAGAAGGTAGTTTGTTGATGCATGAGTATATTGGGACGTTGTGATTTTTATCATGAAGCATTCAAAGGATGCCCCTGCTAAGGTTTTAGCAACTTTGTTCCTGTTGCAAGTATTCAGGGTTGTGTCACACAGTCAACTGGGAATATCTTTGCCTTATTACTGGACTACATCTTTTCTGAATTCTAGAAAGTGACATTTATTTGCAAAGCATATGGTTACGATATCAGGGCGATTGGTTATCCAGTATTTCTACACTTGCTTAACCTGTAAATGTTCCACATACCCCAGACCACCTACCGTTGGTGGTAGCAAGGTCAATCCATGGGCTGTTTTTTCACTATACTTCCTTCTTTATGAATAGCTGGATTGGTTGTCATGTGACAATGGCAATTATGTGTATCTTTTCTGTATCAGGATCTCTAATTTGTGTCTTATGTTTTCATCTTGTAGTGATTGCTGCTCCTCATGGAATTCGTGGTTCACTGACAGGATGTTGTCCAAGTGATCTTGTCAAGCAAGTGTATTTGAGGTAATTTTACGTTTTTTTTTTTTGGTAGAAATCTGTATGTTCACACTTCTTCTTTGTCTTTTGGAGTTTGGGTTAATATTTTCCATTGCCAACTTATGTTTTCTTCAACAGTTCTGGCAAGTCTAGGACATTGAATGGATTTATTGGCCTCCCATATCATGTTGCTCAAGGGCCTGCCTGCCAGCTGAGGGGACAAAATTGCTATGTTGAAATTACACTAGGTTGCCTGAGGTCTGAGAGTGACAAGGCATTGCAAACAAACTTGCAGTTAACTAAGAATTCATCCAAGAATCATAATGCAGAATCTGCTGCAGTAAGGAGAGGTGATCAGAAGGTATCACCTGATCACTTATCAGCTCATGAGAAAGCATTTATTTATCCAACTGAGGCAGTTGTTGTTCCAGTCTTACAAAAATCTTTTGCTAGATCTTCTTTGAAAAGGTAAATTGAATTTCGTGCTAATTATTTTCTAGTTTTGGAGAGAGGATTACACTCTTCAAGGTTCTGGGTATAGTTTTTTATTCTCCAGTTTCATAGTTAGGATGGTCAATAACTTATTTCTGTTTGTTCGTAAAGGTTGTTATATTTGGCTTAAGCTAACATCAATTTTGTACTTGCAGATTTTGGCTGCAAAACTGGATTGGGCCATCACTGCCTGGTTCATCGTTCTTTATGCATTGGTTAGTTATGTTCATGCTTTTCGAAGAAAAATTGCTGATACTGCTTTACTTGAGAAATTATGCTGTGAAAGTTCTCAGTTTTTTAGTATGTTAATATATCTAGTCCATTACATGCTTTATCATTTAATAATTATCCATGCACTCAGTTTTGTTTTTAGTCATGTATGTACCACCTTAGGTTGTGTTTGCCATGCTTTCAAATCATGGCGATCTTCTTGTGCATTATTAGCAACTTTTAGCAAATTTTTAGTAACATGTGCATTTTAATACTGCATCTTAATGAACACAATAGCAACACTTGACTGATTAAATATCATAAAAAATACCCAACAGTATCTTATGAAAAAAATGAGATAAGGTTCAAAACTGATTGTAGACTTGCTTTTTAAAACTGTTGAAAGCCAACAGTATCTAATTTATGGTTGTCATTTGAGATTTGCCATTATAACAGTGAAAATGGTAATAGGAAGTGAAAATCCCATTATATATAGATCATGGTATTACAGACCAGTAAATAATTATATTTCATGGTGCTTATTTGAAGGTTAGAAATGTGAATGTCAAATTGTTCTGAACTAATGTTTTGGCAGAAAATGATTATGGTAATTCCCATAGACCCAAATTCCCTTTGGCAAAAGGTGATTGGCTTAAATATGTTTCAGTAGAACAAGCAAGACTTGGATAGATACTGCCTATCCTATAATTATGGACCTAGCATGCCCTTATTTTTAAGTACTTGTCATCAATGTGAATAATTTTTAAAAAATTATATTGACTTCTCATAACTTATTTTAGTTATGCATGTACTTTCTTTTGAAAAATTCTCTGCTTCAACAATAACTAGAAAAAGTTTTGAAAAAAAAAAAAACTATAAAAAGAGACTCCTTACAGGAATTATGGTGCACAAGGAGTATGCATGTGGTTTTTTAATGGTCACACTAAGTGTTAGTTGAGATTTAGTCTTGAATCTTCATTTTGGCTCTCACATTTTTCTTCTTTCTTCAGTGGTGGTGATACAGACTTTCTGGAAGGATCTTGGATTGAATCTAATGGAGTACGTATGCAGCATGGCTATAACAGTAGTAGCAATAGTAATAGTAGCAGCATCAGCTCCATAAGCAGCGGCTCTAGTGATAGTGATTACAAGATGACCACCGGTGAGCTTGAGGCTGATGCTGATTCATTGTCATGCAGACAATCTGGTTTATCTTCCAATGATCAGATGGAAAATGATGGCCTCAAATTGGTACTCCATTTGATCGACATTCATAGTTTTGAGTTTTAAAATCCTTGAATTTATTCATTGTCTGTAGACAAGGATACCTATGTTTGAGCTAAAGATGAAGATGGTGTTCTAGACACTAAAGTTTACCAAAGTCTAAATATATTGACATGATCACAAGGGACAGTCATCTTTACCTGTTTTTGAGTTATCTTATCAGTTGTTCTTTTTAAGTGTGCATAAACTAAATGGAATGGTATATGATTGAAAGGATCCATATAGCTGACCCTTTCTAGTTTGGGATTGAGGCTTTCTTGTTGTAGAAACTAGATGAAATAAACAATTTAGAATATAGAAATCTCATAAAAGCCTCAAGTGCTAGACTTTTTTGTAGTTTCATTCTTGTATTGTGTTTCATGAATAGATGCAAACTACCATTCTGATAACTGAATCCTTTGATTCTTGATCTTATTCTTATATCTTTTGTGATTTCCAACAAAAATAATTAGGACCTTTATGGTACTTAAGCAATCCTAGCAATCCATTATTCTGCCTAAATACATGTCAGCCCAATTTCAACCCTAGTTCCAAAGTGATAAGAGACTAGGGAGGGCTAGACATGGGTTACTGCCGTTATGTTGCCTGTGTCCTCTAGCAGGGATTTCTGTATGATTGCTACTGTTTTGATTAATATTAAAATGTTCAATCTTAGAGGTCTCCTCAACATGATCTTGGTGTGAACATTTTATACTGTTGCCTCACTTTCTCCTACAACTAAACCCTCAATTACCTAAATCGTGGATTCTGAGTTTGGGGTTGCCTTGAACTCCCATGGTCTGCTTGCTAGATTGTTCTTGTAATTGACTCTGTTGTGGTCTATCCTTGAACAATATACATTCTTGATTGAGTTTTATCCTGCAAAGAAGGTATATAGGGGTAAAGAAGCCAGCTTCCTTTAGTTGACTATGACTGCACTTAATGACTCCTTACCAGAAGTTCTAGGTGATTATGTTCATTTCATTCATAGATGCCTAGTCAATATGATCTAGGTATGAGCTTTTGATGCTGTTGCCTTACCTTTTTTATTAGTTAGGATGAGTTTCTTTTTCTTGATTTTCTGCACATAGATCAAATGGGTTGTTACTAATTAAGGGACACTGAAAACTTGTCTTTATGGATGATGTATGTGAACAGTGCTTGGACCTGTCTTTATATATGTTCATTTTAGGCATTTTGAGGGTTTCAGACTAATTACTTTGCTGGAATTTATTATGCAGGGTTCTAAGCGTCATCGAACAGGGATGACTGAGCCATTTGGTCATGTGGGCATGGTTAAAAATGCTCCTATGCAAGATTTTGGTTCAGTCGAAGTTAATGATTCAGCTATTACAGGTATTGCAAATGAGCAGATTGGATCTCGTTGGGATTGGGACGATGACAGAGGCACGGGCATGGATATCCAAGCTCTTCTCTCTGAATTTGGTGATTTTGGCGACTTCTTTGAGAATGATGATCTGCCTTTTGGAGAGGTAATCTCCTATACAACTGGAATTGTAACATGGTGCACAATATGGGAGATATTCATTTGTGTGCATGCCTGTACTAGTGCATGCAGATTTTTATTGATTGTTTATCTGCTGAAAGGAATGTATAAGATTTGCAGATTTGTCAATGGGGAAACATTTGGTGACATGGGGAAAAAAAAAGATACTCTTTGCAAAGCAATGGAATATTTGACACTCAATAATGATTATTATTCTATCTGTATGAACCTGGCAGACATTTCTTTTGGCTGATTCTTGACGTTGAAACTCTTATCAATTTGCTAGATGTTTTATTTGAATCAAAGTTAGAGAATTTCTTATCAATTCTTTCCCTTTGGGAGCTTGGAAGGTCTAATTGATTTATTGCCTTTTGCCTTTTTATTGTAAAACAAAATTAAGTTTTAAGCTTTTCTGGAACTAATTCTGGCCGTTTGTTTTGTGAAGCCTCCTGGAACAGCAGAGTCACAGGCTCTTATGTTTTCTGGTCCAGATTGTGGCGAAGTTGCTAACAGTCCTATTGGGGTAATGGATGTGGATCAGATGCTTCTGCCGGTAGCTTTTCCATCTTTTGAAAGCTTTAATCCATCTCCTGCGGTAGATGAAAGTGCCAGCAAAAGCCAAGAGACCACACATAGTGCTCTGGCATCAGTTCCAGCGAACTGCACTCCACCATCTTCTTCAGGTGAGTTTGATCATTTAATCAAAGCTGAAGCTTTGATGACCTTTGCCCCAGAATATGGAGCAGTTGAAACCCCTACAAGCGAATTCTCCTCATCAATTTTCAGGAGCCCATATTGTCCAAAATCTCGCCAAGTGGAGAGCTCAAATTCGAGTTCAAATAACTATGCATATGGTGCAACACCACCATCTTCTCCTTGCTTTGAAGGATCAAATGAGAAAACTGGCATGCAGGTGAATCTGAAAACAGGTCCTGGAAGGTATGATGCAAAGAAATATTACACCCTTGTGGAAAGTGGGAAAGTGCAACTTGATAGACGAATATTCATATCTAACGAAAGCCATCCTACCAGTGAGGCAATGGTGCCATCTCCATTATTGACTTCCAATTCCTCAAATACTGTCAAATCTGTCCAGAGGAAAATGAGCGATGGCACACTAGGAGCAGAAAGTTTCTTATTTTCTATGAAGACTGTTCTGGCAACTGAAGTAGAATGCATGATGTTTCAAGCTTCCATGTGCAGGATGCGACACACACTGTTGTCTTCTGGTAACCCTACATCTGTAAATTTGAGTAGGTTAAGTGGAAGCACTATTTTGAATCAGCTGCATGGTGATGCAAGTACCATGACGGACAGCATATCTGGCAGGTATGAAGTGAAGAAAAAAGAATCTATACCAGTTAGAATAGCTGGGGATATGGATGGTGGAGTGCTAGATGGGCACCTCAATGCACCTGTAGGTGTTTGGCGCTCTGTTGGAGTTCCTAAATTAACAAAACACTCTAGTTCACCAAATATTGAAGTTAGTGCGTCCTTGCCACACCATTCATTCAGTGAGGAAGGAATTCTCTCTTATAGGCAAAGGCAGCAGCCACTGCAGGAGCTTTTGGATGGCATGGCATTGCTTGTCCAACAAGCTACTTCCTTTGTTGATGTGGCTTTGGATGCAGATTGTGGTGATGGTCCTTATGGTTGGCTTGCATTACAAGAACATTGGAGGCGTGGGTTTTCTTGCGGGCCTTCCATGGTCCATGCAGGTTGTGGTGGGACTTTGGCTTCTTGCCATTCTCTGGACATTGCTGGTGTGGAACTAGTTGATCCACTTTCTGCTGATGTAAGTTTTTGTTTTTCATGATTACAATTTATTGTGGGATAATGTTAGAAAAGTTACTATAATTCTGCATCTAAGCATCTTTACTGTATTATGATGAGAATCTCTTTCCTGTTCCTCAGATTCATACTTCTGCAGTGACAACCTTGCTACAGTCTGAAATCAAAATAGCCTTGAAATCTGCATTTGGGAATTTGGATGGTCCATTATGTGTTGCTGATTGGTGCAAGGGCCGCATTCAGTCAGGTGATGGAGCAACCACATGTGATGGATCCTTTGGGGAGTCCACTTTAAGTGAAGGCAAAGATTCTCCAAGCACTGTAACACTGTCTGTTGGAGAACCAATGAGCCCAGCCCTCTCTTCTGCTGCTGGATCGACTTCCCTTAAAGGTATGGTAATGCTGTGTTCATGTGCGCATCTGTGTGCATGTTGGGTTCTTTAATTTACAGGTACTTTACAGTTTCTCAATTGCTGCAGCATCCAGTACGCCAGATGGAGCTAAAGGGATGTCTCCTAAAGTGGATGAGACATCCCAAAAGAAATCGAATCAGGAAATAGAGCCAGAGCCGCTTCCCAGGATAAAGCCAACAGTTTTTGTTCTTCCATCGCCTGCTATTCTTGTTGGGTATGTATCATAATTTGTTTTGTTTTCATTTCAACACCTGATGAATTAAGAAACAAATTTAACATCTTTAGATGAGCGTTATCTTTTCTTTCTTTTGGTGTTTTCATTTCAACACCTGATGAATTAAGAAACAAATTTAACATCTTTAGATGAGCGTTATCTTTTCTTTCTTTTGGTGAATGCGAAGCTGATTGCTAAGAAAACGCACTAGGCATCTAGCGAGTGCACTTTATTAGGTGAAAATCAGATATAGGAAAGAATACACAGATCTCAAAAACTTTTGAGCTAATCAAATTGCATGTTGTTTTTCTCTGGTCGGTCGATCTATGAATCTATGTATCAAATAAATCAGAGATTTTGTCTCAACAACCAGTGTTAGTAACACTTTATACATAGTTTTTTAAGAGGATATTCTGCAGATCTCTTTGCCAGTTATAACGTTAGAGACTTCCAAAATTAATCTCACTTACTCTTTTGTGTAGATAACTCAAGTAGACCAAGCCTTACCCCAAGTATTTGGGATGGCTCTATGAATTCAGTTTTTCTGGTTAGCTATATTATTTGGTATCATTGTGTATGATATGTGCAAATGAATCGTTTGTCAAATAGGTACCAGGACGATTGGCTTAAGACATCACCAAGCTCTTTACAACTCTGGGAAAAGGCTCCTTTTGAACCATATGCTTCACCAAAACCAGTAAGATCCTTGAAACCACTTCATTGTATGGATGCTCTTGCTGTCTGTTCTGTGTCCGTGTTTTTGTTTGTTTCTTGAAGAGATCTTTTGCTGCATCCATTTTGAATTATACTGAAACTTTATTGTTCATTAACTTTTGCAGATAACTTATCATGTTGTATGTCCAGACATCGATCCCCTTACTTCTGCTGCTGCAGATTTTTTCCAACAACTTGGAACTGGTGAGTGTTGTTTTATATTCTTGGCCGGGTAATGTGTCAATAAACTGTGGTTCATGTTCATAAAATATGCCCAACCATTTCAATATGAGGGAAAGGATCCTACATACTCTTCTCTTGGAGGAACAAAGTAATTTCTAGGTTTTGTTCAAGATTTGCTAACAACCAGATGAGTATTGTGCTGGATAAAATTTTGTGATCCCAATCTTTCAGGGAATTGGTTTTTCTTTTGTTTAAGTTCCTTAGCCCTGAAGGAAAAAAGCCTCTACTATTGACTTTATTCTTTTCACTCTCATTTCTATATTTAATTTGTAAATTACATGTTTCATGAAATTTTCCTAGGTTTATCAATGTGTGTGCAATCATGTGTTTTTTGCATACATGTGCTATATGAGTAATCTTTTTGAGTTCAATGCTCCATGTCATTCTGTAAATTGCTTCATTCTTATGAATGAGTTTTTTCTCCTTCAGTTTATGAGACGTGCAAACTCGGAACTCATTCACCTCAGATTCTGGGAAACCAAATGGAGGTGGATGCAGGGAAATCTTTGTCGTCTGGTTTTGTACTACTTGATTGCCCTCAGTCAATGAAGATAGAAAGCAGTAATGCATCTCTTGTGGGATCAATAAGTGATTATTTTCTCTCTCTCTCCAATGGTTGGGACCTGGCAAGCTATCTTAAGTCTCTTTCAAAGGCTCTCAAGGCTTTAAAAATTGGTCCATCGTTATCAACAAACCCAAAAGAAGGAAATAGCAGTCCTTGTATGGTAAGTTTCCTTAAATGAAGAAGTAGGTTGAATGTTTTTTCTCCAATTGGTTTGCTGTTTGTATCCCAAAATGGCATTAGTTGTGCGGCATTCAATTCTTTCACTCGTAGCCACCGCTATTTAATGACAAATGCTCTCCATGATGGATGATGATATCAGTAGCTTTTGATTTTGATTTCACTTGTAAACTCTTGTTATAGTGGGAAAATTAATTTCTAAAATCATTTTCTTTATGTTCTTTCGGGTAATCTGGATGGGTTTGTTGTTGCTGTCTGCTAGTTTTAAGCTCCAGAATCTGTAGAATTCAAATCATGCTGTGTAATGTTATTCTGTGCTCCTGTTTCTGAAGCAAGCAAATATATTTTTTAGGGACCAAAGTTTGATTGCCTGCATCTTGTGTCAAGCAGATGAAATTGTACTATTTTATTATTGGGTTAACTAAATACATCTTCTTTAATGGTTCTTGGTGTCTAGGTTATCTCTGCATCTTGTGTCAAGCACATAACATTGTGCTAGTTTATTGTTGTGTAACTGAATACGTCTCTGATGGGTCTTGGTGTCTAGGTTATCTATGTGGTGTGCCCCTTTCCTGAACCTGCTGCAGTTCTACAAACTGTCATTGAATCCTCTGTTGCTATGGGGTCAATCATTCCCCCAGCAGATAGAGAGAGGAGGTCTATGCTGCTGGGTCAGGTCGGCAAAGCATTAAGCAGCTTGGCAGCTGTTGATGAAGCATCAGCATCAAATGTTCTAGTACTTTCAGGGTTTAGTGTTCCTAAATTGGTATTGCAAATTGTTACAGTTGATGCAATTTTTAGGGTTACAAGTCCAGCTCTTAATGAGCTCGTCATTCTTAAGGAGACTGCTTTCACTGTATACAACAAGGCCCGGCGAATTTCTAAAGGATCTTCAAATGATGCTCAAGCATCAATGTCAAGTAGATCTCATTCAGTATTAACACAAATGAGTTCTGTTCCAGCAATGTGGAATTCGTTACCAAGAGAGGCTGACATTGATTCTAGATTGAGAGCTGGTACTTGGGATAACTCCTGGCAAACAACAAGGACTGGAGGCTTGACCTGTGATCCAAACCGAAATGGAGATTTTTCACTTCAAGATGAAATTCGCTTCATGTTTGAACCACTTTTTATTCTTTCAGAGCCTGGATCTCTGGACCAAGCTGTCACACCTACAATTATTGGTCATTTAGGTACTGAATCTTCAAAGCTGCAATTTGATGATACTGGTGGAAGCTTCATGCAAAGTGCAAGCCCAGCAGGGAGTGTGGATACTGGAGCTAGCTCACAACATGATGGATCTGAGCCCGATGGCTATGGATCTAGTTATCAAAAGGCTCTTCCAAGCCTGCATTGCTGCTATGGATGGACAGAGGACTGGCGTTGGCTAGTTTGCATCTGGACAGATGCAAGAGGAGAATTGCTTGACAGCCATATATTCCCTTTCGGTGGAATTAGCAGTCGCCAGGATACAAAAGGTTTGCAATGCCTTTTTGTGCAAGTTTTGCAGCAAGGATGTCAGATACTTCAGGCTTGCTCCTCTCCTGATGCTGGCAGCATAAAGCCTAGAGATTTTGTGATTACCCGCATTGGAAGCTTCTTTGAGCTTGAGTATATAGGTATATAAGTTTCTTTCACAACAGTCCTCCATTGTTCTCAGTTTGATGTTTACAATCAATTGCCTTCTCATGTCTAAGGTTTTCCTGTCTGCTGTGACTATTTAGAATAGCCGATTCACATCTATTATATTGTTTACGTGCAATAAGTGAATGATTTATGAATTCAGTTTAAATAATATAAGATCTTTCATTGTAATTCACTTGCCAGTTACCAGTAACAGAAGTTCTGCTGCAGTTTTGGAGTGCCTTTATATGGTTTAGAGTATTTGGAACCTTTTGCCAAGTTGCCAGTAATGTATCAGTTGCATGCAACCATTATCCATGTAGCCTGTTGATTGAAGGATTTTCTGATGTTGTGATTATGTCTCGACCTTTATTTTTGTTCTATTCTTTTGGCATTTAACTTTTTGTTATTTTTCTTCTACTGTGTGATTAAACAGAGTGGCAGAAAGCCATTTATTCAGTTGGGGGTTCTGAGGTGAAGAAATGGCCACTGCAACTACGGCGATCAATGCCTGATGGGATGGCTGCAAGCACTAATGGGGCTTCCTTGCAGCAACAGGAGATGAGTTTAATTCAAGAAAGAACACTGCCTTCCTCACCTAGTCCATTGTATAGCCCTCACTCAAAAGCATCTGGCTATATGAAGGGTGGTTTGGGGCAACCTTCTTCAAGAAAGCAGCTTATGGGTGGGCACGCCACAGTTGACCACTCAAGGGGGATGCTTCAGTGGGTGCAGAGCATCAGTTTTGTTACCATTTCAGTTGACCATTCTTTACATCTATTGTTCCAGGCTGATACACCATCTCCTGGTAAGTTGATATTCTCTCCTTCACTCTCATTCGTTATTTCTCCTCAGTGCATTCATATTATAAACATTTGATACTCTAGTTTGAAAAAGTCACATTCTTTATCTATCGTTTGCTGCATCTGGTCTTGTCCTGTCTTGATGCTACAGTAGCTGCATTTTACCTCCAGTCTTATTTTTTTGGATGGGGATAGACAATAACCTTGGCATCCTAGTGTCCTTTTGTGAAATCTTTCATGTGACTTTAGACAATATTGTTATGTTGGTGTGGCGATGAAGATGCACAATAATAAACATATTAAAACATCACATTATGTTGCCACTTTGCTCAATTATTGGGCATGGTTTTCCTGGACATACATGTGCAAATACTAAGCAAGCATACTTGGTAACTTTTAGGAACATATGAAATAGTTTTGGTGAGGCCTGTTTAGAAGATTTGGTAATATTTTGGCACGTTAGATCAATCCATGTAATCAGGTTCATGTTGAGATTTTTTGGAACATCATTTCCTTCACTAATTTGGGTTGGAGTTTGAAACCTTACTGCCTCGAGTACTAATAGCAAAAAGTTGTGTAGGAGTAAGTGGCAGTGGTGTTGGTGCGTCAATCTATCTGGAAGGTATCACCCCTGTAAAGTCTCTTGGTTCAACATCAGCATCTTACATTTTAGTTCCGTCACCCAGTATGCGCTTCCTTCCCCCAACACCTCTGCAGCACCCCACATGCCTCACTGCTGAATCCCCACCACTTGCACATCTCCTTCATAGCAAGGGATCTGCAATTCCGCTCTCCACTGCTTTCGTGGTTTCAAAAGCTGTACCTTCCGTGAGGAGAGACCATAGGAGCAATTCAAGAGAAGAATGGCCTTCAGTTCTGTCTGTGAGTCTCATTGATTATTATGGAGGCAACAATATGACCCAAGATAAAATGTTTAGGGGGATGATGAAGCAGGGCGGACGGACTTTAGGCGCCGATGGTAAAGATTTAGAACTTGGGACCCAAGTAATTCTTGAGAATGTCGCAGCAGAACTTCAAGCCCTATCATGGATGACTGTGAGCCCAGCATATTTAGAGCGACGAACCGCACTGCCATTTCATTGTGACATGGTTTTAAGACTCAGAAGATTGCTCCATTTTGCTGATAGAGAGCTCTCTTCACAGCCTGGTCGATCGCAGGTATAAGACAGAAGCAACTTGCTTGGTTTTTCTATTTCTAGATATTGAAGACCTCAGAGATCTCAAGCACAAATCTGCTCCGCGCCCTGCCTTCGTGCTCATGTACAATAAACTGTAACATGTAAATGTAATTGTAGCCTGCTGATGCATAGCCCTCCTTTTTAAAGTCCTAGAAAGAGATGAAATGTTTAGTTAGAATCTAACAGATAAAAGTTTTGACAGCAGATGCCGAAAATGTAAATGAATAGGACAGTTCATTGTTTCTCTAGGCTCAGCATGTTTGTAGATTTTGTTTATGTGAGACATTATCACCACCCTTGTAATAGAGACCCTTTTTATTTATCTCACAGTTCAATTTTTTATTTCGATTTTTTCATCGCTAAGACGAAAGATTTTTTTTTTTTTTCAATTTATTTCAATTGCTCGTATTCTTCGTGACTTACTGAAAAAATTTCCGTCACAATGATAGGAGCAGATTCAAGATTTGTTTTTTCGAAGGGTAATTTTGTAGTTTAGCCTCAAAACAATAATTCAAAAAAGAGATGGGTGGCACTAATTGCTAGAGCCCATATTTTTTGGACCATGTCTTGGCGTCAAGGCAAAGCTCACCCTATCTAACCACTTCGGTGATTCTTTATTTGGTCACTTTCACAGGCCGCGTGTGCTTAGCATATATGATGTGAGATTCCACACGTCACCTTTGCACGCTTTTTATCCTCTTCTTCTCTCATAATTTAGGTTATTAATTTTCTATTTTCTATGAAAGGAATATTTTTTGATAAATTTATATGTAAATTAATATCAAATATATTTTTAAATAATTTTAAAGACATGTATCAGTCCGATTCGTTTAATGAAAAAAAAAATCTTAAATATTAGTTAGTCTTAATTTAGTCGATCATACATGTGATAAACAAATTATAATGGGGGCAGCCAGCAGGTGCTTGGATTCCTACTTACTAAACGATAAATTAGTAAGCATAATTTTTTATGATTAAGGCCACTAGTGAGGCTAAGAGAGGTTAATATAAAAATGGATTCCTTTTCAAAAAAAACTGCTTTTCTGGGGACTGCAATCTTACATTATAAGCCCCAACAAGCAGGTGCCATTTGTTAACATGCTCACATCAACGTATTGCTTAATAAGTCTCATTGTATTGCTTAGTAAAATGCCAAAAGTCTAATCATTCTTTACATCTTTGGTGTGGTTTAGGGATTGGATGGCCTCAGAGTGATTTTGTTTTAACAAAAAAGAAAAAAATGGGCGAAAATAACGGGGAACACGAGGATGGCAAAGGTTGATGACAAAGGAACTTTTTGTGGCAGAATTGGAGTGATTTTTCAAACATCCAGAGTTTTTCCATTTATGACTGGTTTGGCCTTGTCAGTAAAGATTAATAGTAGGATTTTTCTGGAATACCAAAGCAGGATTGTGGTGGCAGATCATTGTAGGGTACAACTGAAGTTTGTCTGACTATCATTTATCAAATGTTATTAGTTCATGAGAACAAAGGAAGTTTCATCATTCATGGGTCACCATCAAATGGCATCGTATCTTCTTGCGTGGCTATGGTAGTAGTACATCTGGGCAATATATAGGCAGTATTTTACAAGCAATCAAGCATTTCAAATTGGAACGTGCCAGCCTAGTTTTGAGATGCATTTGGCCATAGAATCAAAGCACCTCTCATGCTTGAAATTAAGGACTGATTTTCTCATTTAAAGAAAAATGAAAAATGGTTTGATTTTGATTTTGGGAGCCAGTGCCTCATTTCAGTGAGTTGGTGCTTCTGATTATCATTCATATCATTTTCCAAACCCTACCAGTTTTGCAAAGAACAGACAGTGTATGAATCATTTCCAACCCTATTATCAGACAAAATCTTACTTTCATGGAAATGCTTCCGCCAGATTTTTGTGGCAATACAATTTTCCTATTAACCATTAGGCTCCCATTTCATTGTCCGGCCATTTGACTCTGGACCACCATATTTCTTTCACACGTTAGGAAGTAGAAACCAATTCTCTACACTTCACATGGTAGGCCATGCCTTCAAGCCTCCAAATTCCATTGCACTATGCCTAACACAATCATAATCGAAGGCCCCGGCAACTCCTGTCTACAATCACCTTCTCCAATCACCAATCACCACACAACTCCAATAGAATCTGCCAAACTACAGCTCATTACCATCCTTCCAACAAAAGCTTTCGACTTTTTCTTTCATTTGTTGAACAACAATCCATTCCTAATGACCCTTCTAGAGCTCAATGACAGAATATGTTACAAGGTAAACAAACATTCATTGGAGAAGTAGAAAAAAAGAGCAAGAACTTTTTTTTTTAAGGTAAACAAAATGTTTATTACTAGAATAAATCACAAATACAAGTGAGGGAAGATCAAGCCAAAGTAAGATACATGAATAATGGATGGACTAAATCCACCAGTAACACATCTCCTTATTAGCCTAGATAATAGTCTAGCCCCAGATTCCCACAAAAAAATGATACAAGAATTATACAAGTCATAAATACAATACCGATGCCCTCATCAAATACATCAATATATCACACCCAACGTACATAAATTAAAAACTCAATACATTAAATAAATACAAAAGAAAAAGAAAAATCCCAACCCATTATTTCTTCTCCCTCTTTCTTGAGTCTCTCCCATATTGTAAACATGAAAGATCCAAGATTACAAAAGATTACAGAAATGTGATCGTAAAGGGAGAGAGAAAAATGGGCAGGGAAAGAAATGAGAGAAACCACATCCAATAAGTTGGCTCAGAAGAAAAACCCAAAAGCAAGAGCAACCAAAGATGCCAAGAATGCGGGAACAAAGATGGTGGCATCAGATGTTGGGCTTGGTGCTGGTGCATCAGCAGCAGTTGCCTTTTGCATGGTTGAGAAGGCCATCAAGACCACCATCAACGCAACAAAGACCTTCATTTTCATTGCCTCCATTTTCTTGATCAACTTGATATTGAAAGAAAGAAAGACTGGCTCTACAATCCCTCTTTAAGATGGGTTTTCTTTAAAGAGAAATTGTCGAGGCAAGCAAGCTAAAAAGCAGAGAGAGAATGGAGACAATGGATTGTGGGAATGTGGATGGTAGGTATATATAAAGGGTAAAGAGAAAAAAGGACGAGAGGGAGAAGGTAAATGCTAAAGGGAAGGGTAAGGACAGGGTGGCACCTGGCAAAGACAAGGGTTGCCATACAGCTGTCCTATAGTCTTCTGTGGGTCCCCATCTTTTGCTGTCTTGTTCTTATACCTAATTAGGCTTTTTTTTCCTTACTCTTTTTTTTTATTATTACTATTTCTTAGAATTTAAAAACCTGAATTTTTTTGTTCGGTTGTGAACGATTTCATTCAACTTTATGGGAAATGTAGACTAAATTATGAATCAATCCTTCTATTTTTTAAAAATGAATTAATACTCCTTTATGTTTTAAATTTTAGTCTTTTGTTTATTTTAGTCTTTTTTCTTTTTTGTTTAAAAAATAGAAAAATAAATAAATATTATGGAAAAATGATGAAAAAAAGAAGTTTTTAAAATAAAATAATATTAAATAAAGTGTAATCAATATTGATTAAAAAACTAAATAATTAATTTTTAAAAATAAAAAAATTAATTCATCGACTCTCAAACCTTTAAGTTCTAGTCTTTTTTGTTTATTTTATGCTTTTTTTCTTTTTTAAAAATAGAAAAATAAATAAATATTATAGAAAAATGATGAAAAAAAGACATTTTTAAAATAAAAAATATTAAATTAAGTGTAATCAATATTGGTTAAAAAACTAAATAATTAATTTTTAAAACTTAAAAAAATTAATTCATCAACTCTCATACCTTTAAATTTTAGTCTTTTTGTTTATTTTACGTTTTTTTTCTTTTTTAAAAAATAAATAAATATTATGGAAAATGATAAAAAAAGACGTTTTTAAAATAAAATAATATTAAATTAAGTGTAGTCAACATTGGTTAAAAAACTAAACAGTTAATTTTTAAAACTAAAAAAAAAATTAATGCAACGACTCTCAAACCTAAAGTAACTAATATATAATTTGCTCAGGAAATTTAAATACATTTGTTGTTTGGAAGTATGGGTTTGGAATGTGAATGACACTTGGAAAACCTAACCTAACATGTGCTTGCTAACATGGCTTGAGTCATTGTATGTTCTTAAATCATTGGCATGACTATAAGGAAACTTGAATTATTGTGGAGTTGTTCAAAAACTTGTTTGTTTAATCATTGTATGTTTTTAAATCATTTTATAAATTGTTTTTTAATAAAAAATAATAATAATAGTAGTAGTAGTACAATCTATCTTTATGCAACAAAAGTGGCTGTACAGTCATAAAACTTAATTTACGACTAAAATTTGTGAAAGGGTTGCCATCACATTTGTTGTACAGTTGGTAGTATACACAGGACAATTGATTTTTTGGAGTTTTTTTTCTGACTTTTTAAAAAAGATGTTAGAGATACAGCTTGAGTTTCTCTTATAAGAAAACAATACAGAGAAATTGAAAGAAAATAAAATACATATTGGATGAAGAATAATGGTCAGAGATTCTATTTTCAAGATTCCAACTCGTATCAAACTAACCAAATAATTTAATTAATTATGTGTTAGTTCACGATATTTTTTCTTGTTTCGGTCCAAACTCTACAATAAATAAATTGAATTGATAATAAATTCGTGCAATACAGGAGTTTGAGTCGTACAAGAATGGACATATATAGGTATTTTGATAAGACTAATGTCTATACCTTATTTTTTAGATGCATTAAATTTATTGATTTAATTAATCCAATTCAGTTGTTACTTATTTAAACTTTGTTAACAAATTGAAACAATTTAATTTTAAAAAAGCTTCTTCTTCTTCTTTTTTGTTTAATTCAAATCTTACTGTCCAAACCTTAATTACAAGCCTTGATCTTCCTTTTTACTAATATTAATAATTTCATGTTACCTCTCACTATTTACATCTATTTTATTTAATTGATATGCTATTATTTTTACAAATCACAATACTAACGTTTTTTTTTTTTTTTTTTTTGAGGATCCGATACTTAAAAATTTAGACTAATCGCTTATTATTCTATCGGATACACGAGACGATAACCGTTATGTAAATAATTTTTTACATATATAAAGACTCGAACTTGAGATCATTTATTTAAATAACCAGAACTCTTTCTTCTCAATCCAATTACAAACTAATGTTTGCTTTTTAATTAGTATGATTAACTTTTGTTGGTTTGTTTTCAAGAGCCTTCCACACAAAAACAAAACAATGAACTCCATGCAAAATCCAATACAACTAATTAAATATAGTTAAATTCATTTTCATTATCCCGTGCCATGCCAAGCACGAATGATAACAACGAGTTGTTCTTATTCGAATAATAGAATTGAGGAAATTCACGAGTCCATGTCAACTTGGAAGAAAAACCAAGTACTGAGTTGAACCTCAATTTTTTGCTTAAACTCCAAATAGAAAAGGATATCTTAACTGTTATGATATGCCCATTCTTATGACGTTAAAAAAACAAGGAAGGAATGCTTCAAATGTGCAGCTTATTTTTACCTAACTTCTTGGTACTTTGTCAGTATCAATGCCCACGCATTAGTTTGACGATTCATATAATTCACATCAGTATCTTCGCTAGAAATTTCTCCTTTTTTTCATTTTTCTTCAACTTAACTCAAATAATAACGTAAGTGATTCTCCAAAAATATTTGATCTTCTATTTCTCTTTTTTTCTTTCTTTCGCGCGCACACACATATATTGATGATACTTAAGATTTTCAATGATGAAATTTGTTGACTTTAGTTTTCACAATCATAATTTTAAATCACAAATAATTAATAAACAATTGCTATTGTCATCGTAGATTAACAATAAAAATAATAATAACAAAATGTTACGAAACTGTCATACAACGATCGTTATATTACGTAATAATTATTATTTAAAACTATGTTGATGACCTCTTCTGTTCGAAGAGGGGTGTATAATAGTGATGGAGTTCTCCAGCGACTGCAAGAGAAAGAAATAGTATGTAGTTCCGAACATATGTGAAGGTAGTTGGTAATGGTAGGTTTTGGATACTAATCAGTTTCTTTTCAAACTTGTTGGGCTCTACAAAGTTTCCATTAGTGCAGCACTGCAGCATCAAGCTTTTCACTCAAGGAGGATCAAAATTCAAGGAGTTGGGAGGTTTTGTCGTAACTCCTAAAACAAGTTAGCCCTAACCTCGAATTCAGCAACCGGCTAGCTTGCTTGCTAACAAGAAACAATATTCAGGAAAGTTGGGCAGCAGAAGATGGATGTGATTGTCAAACCCAGCATTAAAAAGCATGCTCATCATCATCCTCATCATCATCAAAGACGTGGGTCACATACCGCTCAACCTAAACCAATGGAGTGTATTGCTTTTCAAACCAACCTGACCATTTTGAAATTTAAATGACTCGAGAAACCACTCAACTTTTACTGCACCAAGAGTAACGTTATGTTGGTGACGCCTTTTTTGCTTTGAAACAAAGGAGAAGCAAGCAATGTCAAAAGGTTTTCTTTTTCTTTTTTCCTGTCCTCCTTGATAGGGTTTCACAACCCACAATCCATAATTAGGTATTGATGAAATATAGAAAAAGTTTTTATTTTGAAAATGAAATATTTGAACTCATAAACTCTTTTTTCTTATCCTCCTATATGGGGTTTCACAATCCAAAATTAATTATTTAATTATTTAATTAATATTAATAATGTTTAATTTGATATAATTTTATTTTTAAAAAAAGATTCTCGTCGATCTTTTTATAATATAAATTTTTATTTAAAAAATAGATAAAAAAGATTAAATAATTTTTTTAAAATAAAAAAATTAATTAATTCGTTTATCAGAACCAAAGAGATTAATTTACAATTTACTCATGGAAAGAATGGACATCATTCATTTCATGAAATTATTTATTAAGGTAGTTGTTATAGTTAGGTCACCCAAATTAGAATTGATTGGTTCATTTGGAATAAGAAAAGTGATCTAATTCAACAAATAATAATTAACAAACCCTTTTAATTAATTTATCCAAAAAGGAAAGAAAACTTGTGATCAAACCCTAAACAATCAATAAATCTGTCAAGTAATCTCTGTGGGAAAATTAAATGAAGTGGGGGATGATGAGGATTGTCATCTACAATTTCATATGCATGCTTCTAGAACCTCTTAGATCGAACGACAAAAGCCGAAATACTATTCTGATCAATTACAAAATGTCTACTGGCCAGCAGCAAAAAATATTATGTTATAGTATTTCAGAAACTCTTCAAATGCCCCCTGATTTTCTAAATAAAATTAAATAAGTTCAACAAATGGTCCCCCAAGTTCAACATTTTACAATCTGTTGCTGCTACGTTTAGGGTTTTTATTTCCTATATAATTATGTATTTCCTATATAGCTCGATAAATGGTAAATTTAATCTGAATAGGTGCAAAAAGTGATTTAAAAATACTCAATTATATATATATATATATATATAATTGAGTATTTTTAAATAATGGCATCGTTCGCCCAGGTCGCATGCTTTAAACCTATGTCACGTGCACAAAAGACCTAATCCAATCTTCAAGCAGCAAGGCAACACAATTGGAGGGAAAGTCATCTGGCCGTCCATTTCACATCTAACGGTCATGATCAAACCAAAAAGAAAAACGCAAATTAGTAAAAAAGTTAAAACATAAAGAGCCAGAGAAACAGAGAGAGAGAGAGAGAGAGAGAGAGAGAGAAGTAACCTGAAGTAACAGTTTTTGGTGAAGATAACAGAGAAAGTTCCGACTTTTGAATTTGTTAGACATCAAATTCATGATCTGAATCAGGCCCACAGTTCTAAGCCCTCCAATCTTGCTCTTTCTCGATTTTCTGAGGAAAATTTATTGTTTTTTTCCCCTTCTCTCCTTGACTAAACAAAAAGACTTTTCAAGTTTTTGCTGCTGCTCCTGGAACTGTGTAATGAAATGAAGTGTCTTCCTTGTAATCTTTCTCTCTTTCTCTGTCTGTTAGGTTGCTGAGAAAGTGAAATGAGAATTCTTGATGGAGGATTCCATTTTTTTTTTTTCTATTGTTTCTTTTCTATGGTTTCTCAGCAACCGAACAGAGAACAAATTTCTGTTTCTTTTTTTTTTAGCTTTCTGATTTTATTGATACGTTATTCTTTTTGTGTGTGTTTTGAAATGCAGGCTAATAGAATATAATTTTGAGCAGTTTTCATTGCATTGACTAGAGATCTTGAGGTGAGTCGCCTTATCTAATTCCTCCATAAATTGACTTACTTTCTCTCATTTTTCTGTATTTTCTGTTTTCATTGCTTCCTCTCTAATTTGCTGTGTTAGAACTATGCATGGGTTTTTTGTTTACTCTTTGTACAATGTTCTGATACTGTGTAACCAAATTTCCTCTAAAAATTGTACTGATTTTAAGGATGTACAAATTTGATTCGAAGATTTTGTATCTATAGTTGTAGTGAGTGATACACTTCTCACAGTTTGTGTGGTTAATTTGTGGCTTTTCAGATTGAGGAAGAGAGATGATGGAGAAGGAAAAGAAGAGTCAAGCAGCTGCAGCTGCGGATACAGATTTTGTGTTGCAATGGGGAAGTACAAAGAGGCTTAGATGTGTGAAACTGAAAAAAGCCCAAAACTTGGCCAACAAATCTAAACTAAATGATTCTTTGCCCAAGAAGAAAATCACATCTCGTGCTGTCGCTACCGAGAAAGAATTTCCTTCTCGCCTCATCAAGTAAGAATCTCAAAAATCTTCCACAATTGAATTACCAAAGTCTTCTTATTTGCAAGAATATATGAATGAATTTAGTTTAATACATATATTATTGGCTGTATCTAGCTGGTAACTAGTCAAGGCACTGAAGAAAGTGTTCGGTCTCTAACATGCTTAAGTGAGCAGATCTGCTTGTGTGCATATTTCATTTGCTTAGGTTTGCTTGATAAGTCATTGTTGTTTTAGGATCTTTGGTTTTCTGTGAATTATGAAGGAAGTTTTACCTGATCTATAATTGGCCTGGCTGATCAGAGAATGTGGGAAATTAAGAAAAATCAAAATTGTGAAAGTATTCTTATTTGTTGTTCTTAGATCACAGAGTTCTCTTTACTTTCATGTCCCATTTGTTATTATCTCTGAACTAAACTTGTCAAAAACTTATTTAACTTCTGGGCTGTGGTTGGATATAGGAATTCTGATTTGTTATCGAACAATAGGAAGTCATCGGTGTTGTCACCAGAAAAGGAAGATCGGTACTACACAACAAGGGGATCGATGGGATTGGATGATAACAGCAAAATTTTAATGGATAATGTCAAGGAAGAAAAAGTCGTTTGGCCTAGACTGTTTGTAACACTGTCTAACAAAGAGAAGGAAGAGGATTTCATGGCTATGAAAGGATGCAAACCTCCTCAAAGGCCTAAGAAAAGAGCCAAGTTGATTCAACGAACTTTACTTGTAAGTCTCCTCAATATATGCACTGTGAAAGGAACTTGGGGACTGTTAAAAATTAGAGAAAAAGTCTTTTGGCCTTTCTTTTGATGGGAGCTTCTGTTGATGTTGTTATTTATTTATTTATTTATTATTCTCTTGTGTGTTTGCAGTTGGTAAGTCCAGGTGCATGGTTATCAGATTTGTGTCAAGAGAGGTATGAAGTGAGGGAGAAGAAGACTTCCAAAAAGGTACTGACTTGTTCTCTCATTTCCTTCCATGTCATCTTTTTTAGTTACTGGTATTTATATCAGATTGTCTGGTTGCTCAGAAATACAGAGAAAGTAAAGGAAGTTTCTTTAAATTTTGAATTCAAAATATGAGCTATAATCAAGATTTAGCATCTTTTGCTTGATATTTTCAAATCTCTTAGCAGAGAGGTGAAATTCATGATTGTTTTTTATTTGATGCAGAGACCTAGAGGATTGAAGGCAATGGGAAGCATGGAAAGTGACTCAGAATGAGAGATTTTGACAATTGGTAGTGGTAGAGACAACTAGAAATAGAGAGTACCCACTACACAACACACCTTTCTTTTGTGAAAGGGCAAAAAGAAAGGAAAAGAGAGAGAATAGTAGAGGGGTCTATTTCCACTTTGTTGTTTTTGTAGCAATGGGCTTTTGCCAGTTTGATATTTGGAATATAAAAATATTATTTTTTTATGTCAGCCTTTCTTCTTTTTCTTCCTCCATTGATGCTTTCATCTGCTTTTTATGATTCTTTTGTTTTGCTTTTATTTCGTTTCACGGGTTCTGTGCAGCTATAATTTGCTTTTGCATTTATACTGACCTCAGGTTTCTAGATTTTAGAAGATGGAATACCACTCGAAAGAATATGCTAATGGTCATGGGCAGCAATTAATCAGGAAAATGATGACCATGACCACAAAAGTGTTGCGTCTCTCTCCTTTTGTGGATTTCCAATGAAGTCATGTCCAGATGGGCAAGTACAAGGTCAAAACAAAACCATATTCTCCATGGCCATTTTTGGGCCATGTCTAGGCTTCTTGCTTATAAAATATGTAGGAATACGGAATACAAACACAAATATGAGAGATTCTGAAAAATCCATGCTTCATAATTTTTTGCTGGGCATCATCAGATACTAGGAAATGTTGTTCTCCAAGGATGCACAAAACAAACTGGATATGAATTGCCTTGTGATCGTAATGTTGAGAATGGATGATCATAAACGATTTACAGAGAAGCTCAGTGAGGGCAGTTTAAATTACCTGAGCTTTTTTACAACTCGTATTTTAATTTCTCAGAAAATAAAAAAGGAATTTTCCTGTCATGGAGAGAGAGAAAGACTTGTAGATTACAGTTTGAATTGACATCAAAATTTATTAATTCATGCAGTTGATGGATGTGAAACGAAACAAATTAAACACAGAAAGCTGACAATTACCAACTCAAATAACAAATGATGATTATATTGCAAAAATAAAGGCATCTTTTTTACAAGTGACATTGTTCAGAATATAAAAAGCACATCAAAACTGCAGCTGAAACCTTCTCCAGCTACCATGCCTTTTGGTATTCACCTAGACCCTAGCGTTAGTAATTATTTCCTATTTCTTTTCATCAGCCTTTTTCTTTCCCCACTTCATTTACATGATTAGACCTATATTTCTTACAAATTACATACCTACACATGTACAATTAACCACCTCCATAAACCTCTCTGAAGCCAGCAGACAAATGATCCAAATCCAAGAGGACCTCCAGATTCGATAAATTCCGGTTGCATGCAATAAGATCTCAGGTCTAGCTAATTGCATTCAAATTCATTTGGTGCTGGAGCTTGTACAAGGAATCGAGTCCAAAAAAGCACTGGTCAACTGGCTTGCTTACTTTGTCACGGGCCATCCTGGCAGAGCTGAGAACCACATTGTGCACAGGCTGCCAAATTCACAACTTCAAATCAGTCCGTCTTAGCTCAACTTTGATCCCAAATGAAAAATAAAGAAACACGATAAATGTAGAAAGTTTTACCAAATGCATTGAGAACAAGAACAAAAGGGAAACAGAAGTGTAGAAAGATGCATTGCAGGATGGACAGAGAAGAAACTTTGACACAATTTACCTTGTCATTCTGCACACTGATTTGTGGTTCAACAAAAGCTGCCTATGGGTGGTACATGATTTATGAACAACCCAAGCACCTCCAAATCTAGCAGATAAGCTCTCAGCCCAAAGGACAAGAAAACAACTGAAAGCCATCACTGATTATTACAAAGCTTCCAGGGTAACTGATGCTTTGGTGAAAACAGACAGAACAAATGGTGCTTCTTCCCCAGGATGTATAGTTGTAGGTACAATTGTGTAACCTTTTGGATCTGGATCCAAAACCATTTCACACGATATTTCTCGAGAATTGACATAATCTGTCCCGCCAACTGATTCGTGGAGGTAAATATTGTAGGAAGCACGACGACCACGAGTTTTCAGAATCCTCATTCCAATGTAGAACATCATTGAATCATGACTGGATTGGTAATTTCTGAAACCGGCTGCTGTTCTAGAGAAACTCACACCCTAAACACGGAAAATTAGACGAGTTCATAAACTAAGTAGATGTGAAGTGCAGTGGATTAAAGAGAAAAACATCCTCGTGAAAATCCTTCACTTGAAGCGTACCTGAGTTAAGGTGATGAACACGTGAATCGGTAATGACGCATCTGGACCAGTGGCCCTCAATCGGAATTGTGGATTTTGATTCCAGGAAGCATAATCTTGGCATCCACCAGCACTGTAGCCTCGCCATTGGCCATGGACAGAATACCGCATCTCTGGGGGGTAGACGCGGCATACATAAATGGACCGGAAGTGGATTTGAAAGTCTTGCCAGGACATCCAGAATATACCATCTTTGGACTGTTCAACAAGACAGGATTAGGTTTTGACAATAACATCCCGTTGCAAGATGGTGATCAGAACAAATTCAATCATCAGGTCATGCATTTCTTAACAAATAGTACTCAAGGACTGTCTGACTAACTTTTTCACTCACAGGAGAAGAAAAGGAAAACATGTCTAAAGTAAGTACCTGTGGAACATGCTTTAACTTGTGCTTCATCCTATCAGTCCATTCAGGAGATGAGTCGGACCATGGTCCATTCCACTCAACTTCATTAGCCCATGGATTTCGAATTTGAACAAGCTTATGGCCATCCACCTCTCTTACCTGAACAATTTAACAAGGGCGTCAACTTCCACCAAGATTTCTTCAGCTGGTACATGATTAATGTAGAAAGATAGAAGCTGGCATTACCTGCAGCAAAGAGTAGGCGTGGCCCTGCACAATACCACTTGAAGAAATATGGACATCAGAACCTGATGGACTCCCTGCACCCAGTAGAAAGCCTTCTTGTTTAAAGCGCAACAACTGAGACCACAGTCTACCACTTGCAAGATCAATCTGGGCCTGAGCACTCCTCATGTCAATCTCCTCACCAGCACCTCCAGTAAGGTCCACAAGAGCATCCTGAACAAGCCCGCCTTCCAATGCCTCATAAGAACCATGCAATTTGGCATATGCTTTCTCCAATATAGAAACCCAGAGCTCATGACCCTTCCGGCTGGTAGCAAATGCAGGTTTACCTGGTGATTCACATGGAATCCAATCATCAACAACAACTGGGACCCAGTCACCCTACAAGGAGATCACAAAACAGAGAATCTTGTTGTGAAACGATTACCAAATGAGTACAGCCATAACCAAACAGGAAACAGTCTTACTAAACATGCATGTTAGCTAATTTAACATGAAATGAAGCAACATTAGAGCAAAAAGGGGTCATGCATTGTATTCAGAAATGAAAAGCACAACCCAGTTAAGAGATCAGGTAATAATAGCACATGGCTCATAGAAGACATTAAGCAAAACCAGTGTCTGACTGTAAATATTCCCAAGACCTACCCCAAAACCACCTCACCCTTGACCACCTGGGCCAAGTCCCAGGGAAAGCATCGCCAATTCTTGAGTGAAGCCCAGGGAAGATATATCGAATAGAATGGCAAATTCTGACAGAGTACCGTCAAAGGGAGAGAGCTCCACCAAAAGTCTGGGAGCATTGGCATCAAAATCATCTAAAGCAGAAGGCAGTTGCCATCTCTCCTATTTCCTAGACAGTTGAGATGAAAATTGTCTACCAAAAGGTACTCTAGAATTACTTTATCACTAAACAATGGGATTTTCTCCAGACTAATTTCTCATTTTAACAGCCAACTCTGTAAAAGAACAGCTTCAGATACAAGTTTTCTCACACTCAAATCGCCAGAATATTGAGGGCAAGTCTAACCTATCAAAGCTTTCACATCAGCAGACTCAGTACTTTTAACAGTTTTGGGATCCATTTTTAGCTTGCAATCATGATGGGATTTTTTCTTATTATTTCAACACTACAACAAAGTCAACAAAAAAAGTCCAGAATGCATCACAGTGTCTTGATTTCCCCTTCAAAAGCACTGCTGAACCATAAAACCATTTATCGTATATCAAAAGACCCAAGTAACTGTACTCTGGTTCCTTACACGCATTAAACATCGAAAGACATACTTAATACCAAAAGAAAACTGCAAATTGCTACCTGAATACAGAAGCGAACTGTGTAAATTCCTTCCTCGTTATACTCTGGGGTAATAATCACTTCTGAAATTCGTGATACCTCCTCCTCTGTTAGAACAGCAACAGCGCTTAGAAACCAACAATCACCTAACCGACCCTGTTACATGAGCAAAACAGCTTTTAAGAATTTTGAGCTGTTAAATTAAGGTGATTAAAATATATCGTTGATCAGTACAGTGAAGAAAAATTGCATGTCAAGCAGCCACGATAGACCATACCTGACAAACATCAGAGGGATTTGCAGCCCCAGCAAACAAGCATGGGTGGGAGTCCAGACGGCTTTCCTTGACTATTTCCACCGGCCTCATCCACTCAGAGACAACCTGGGTTTGAACTCCAAGACAAAGTTAGAAAAATCAATAAAATACACAAAGCTGCATGTAATTACAGATCCACAAGAACAAACCTGCAACTTGGTAGGGGGATTTATAGGATCCATGTATAACGATTGATCATTTGGAGGAAACTCCTGGTCGGTAAAATGTGCTTCTCCTCTAGCACACAAGGCTTCCTTAACAGCCAATTCAACTGAAAGCATCCGTTGATTAATTTCTTCCTGGGTTTCTATCCTAGGTTTCCTAAACCTCCTAGCAAAAGAATCGACATCTATCACCACTCCTTCACGATCTGACCTCCTTTTCCTCCCACTTGAATATTGCCCGTCCCAATCTACATCATCCCTATCATAAAGATCTACATCTGCAGGATCACTATCCCACTCATCAACCTACGTGAATACAATAAGCAAAGATTAGTCAAGGACTTCGACGTCGTTTACAAAATATTGTTTCCATTATTTGAAATTTCACATAGTTCAACATAAGAAATATTAACAAGAGACATACTCTGGGGGGTGAATCTGCCCATTGCCAGTTATCTTCAGGGTAGTCAATCATACCAAACTCCGTTGAGCCTATCGCAGTGTGAAGAGAGGCAATCTCATCTTCAGTTAAGCACCTTCCCCATAAGAAAACATCCATTATATGCATCTTAGACTCAGCTCCTTCACTATCTGACCTTCCAAATGCATCCACATCTATTGGTGGCCTAACACCAACCCAAACTTCTGTCCCCTGTTCCCAGATGCTTTTGCCCACAGACAATGGTAGCCCAGTTTGGAAGCCATCAAAGCCACCATCCAAATAGCAAGTTGCTTCACCCAAATCAGCATCAACTGTCATTGTCACAATATGCCACCTGAAAAGTAAATGTAAGACCAGAGTTACATTAACGTTATCGAAAGAAACGATATAGGCTGAAATAAAAGCAAATAGAAGTATAACTCATTTTAGAGTTCCAATCCTTCATTAAAGATTAAAATACTACAGCAAGGACAAGAATACATGGAAAGTTACATAGGAAGCACTAAGATTTGAAGTAAATTGCAGCAAAAAACTTCCTAACCTTCCATCTGCAATACTTGTTGCACTGATACTCCACTCCTTGGCAACAGTTGTCTGCCTATCACCTTTAGTAATTAATCTAAGCCCAACCTGTCCAGCCTCAATACCTTGCTCAGCACCAGCCACCAGAATTTCCCAGCATTCTTTCTTCTGAAATTCAGTGCCCAGAAGGCAAACTGGTCCAGACTCAGGTTGGATCATTACTGCAATGGAAAAGCTGACCTTTCGACTTTGACATACACTGGGATCGATCTCACCACAGTGCCTGCCACTTGTGGTTGGTTCATCGTCAAGAACACATACAGAGCCTGTAACTCCAGTCTGCCAACAACATTAAGATTTAGTAGATTCATATTTTACAACAAAATTGGTGAAATCTTTACACACAAAATTGGTTATTAGTTTTATATATCATTAAGTAGCAAAGTGATTGTAGGAAAGCTTAGGGCTTTAGGATTGTTTCTTAAAGGTGCAGTCCCGGATCCTGCACAATCAGACCAGGGAAAGTCCACATTCTAGAAGTTGGGGGGCTCACTTCCTGTATTCATTTGTTAGACCTCAAGTGCCAACTAGTTTTCTGCAGGAAAAAAAGGTCCTGGTCTCTTTTCCCTGGTTACTTATCTGGCTACTAGTCCGGTTATTAAAACTAGCCCATAAAACAGCATAACATTTTCAGAACACCTTCTGCTGTATCAGTTGTTAAAGTTTCAGTCTTTCCTTTACCAGTCTTGGTCTCAGTACCCAGATTCAATACATTTCACCATCCGCATGTCTGTTTCAACCAAAGCCATGCAGCTAATCTATAAGCTTCAATCATCTATGGGAAGGCACATCATCCAAATATGGAAGAATTGCCAGCATTTCTTATCAGATGATATTAAGAGGGAAAAAATACACAATGGAAACTTCGGAGAACTGATTTACAGAACAAGGTTATCAACCTGCAGTGCTCGGCGAGCTAATTGAGCTGTGCGTATCCTACGTGCGATGCTCGAAACCCTTTCCCGTGCAAAGGAATCACTGAGAACAGAATCACCTCCCACAGCACGCACTGCAGCTGCCATGGCTGCTGCCTCCCTGCTGCCAGCATTAGGAATAGTGGAAATGAGGGAAGCTTCAATCTCCTTCCATTTGCGCTCTTCCTTCTCCAAAAGGGCCTTCCTTCTTTCTTTACCTCTCCCCTCCTCTTCACGTCGTTGCATTAAGATTTCCTCTTCCATCTCCTTTTCTCTCAGATAGCTAAAATATACAGAATGAAGATTTAGAAACATGGAAAGAGTAATTCCTAGCATCGTGGAAAAGGAGGAAAAGAACAAGTCAGAAGAAACTTGTCACCTCTCCTGAATAATTTCAAATTGCCTGCGGTCCTCTGGCATCCACTTTTTAATTTTCTTGGCACTTAGGTCAGAGAAACCTATGCTATCAAGAAAAAGCCTCAAGCGTACCTCATCCTACCACAGCAGAAGTATAATCAAGCATTCTGGGTAACGATAAAACAAATATAGTAATCATCACAAGCACCCTGATTTACCTGTACCCTTTCTGCCTGAGCAGTCAAGCCAAGCAGAAGAAGTAAGTAACCACCAAATCTATCCCACATGTACACCCATTCAGTATCAATTGCCTCTTCTAAAGCCAAAATTCGTGCATGTGCACACATTTCCCTTCTGTGATCTACACCACTCGCTGATTCACGGCGAAATGTTCTGTATCTCATCTTGCAGAGGAAAGATCCTACTACTAATTCCTCGTTTCTTAGACGATCTCTCAATTTCATGACATCATCTCTAGGAAGCACAAGGTTTCCTGCCTTATCACGTGAAGCAGTAGGGTCTCCAACCAAAAGAGCTGTTGAACTAGCAGACCGCTGAGGAGCAGAATAAGTTCCGGACAAAGCATTTCTTGTCTGCATGATTACATAATAAAATGAAACAGATTAGTTGCCGTGCAGTTGTACGTGAGCATAAGCTTGGACAACCTTTCACCATACAACATATAGAGAACTAAAAACTATGGTGGGTTTATTATATTTTTATAAACACATTCCCGCAGGTGCACATACACATACAGACATTCACGAATATTTAAAAATAATAGTTTCAGCATGACCCAGTGTAAATCATATATCATATGGACTCAATTTATTTGTAAAAGGTGCAAGGATTGCTGCACTTCACTGCCCAAATTTTTGTTTAGATACAGCAAAATACTTAACCAAGCACATCATTGATGTCGAATTCAATAAACCAATCAGCATTCGCATTGCATATTCAAATATATGCAGATGGATCTTATGGCATCAGTGCAAGATAAATTCAGATAGTGGATCAAGTTCAATTTCAAATTCAAAATCAAATGCACCTTAGTGGCAGATCGAGTGATTGCTTGAACAATGGTATCCTTGCTGAGAAAATGAACTGCATCTTCCATCATCTGGAGATGTAAGCAAATTTTATCAACTGAACCCAACAAACATTGCTAAGGAGGGAGGAGATACAAAGTTACTCCTTTCATATAATATTAAAACCAGCATAAGCAAAAATAATTGCAGACTGACATCAAGTCAAATCTAATCATAGGAAATCAGATACCATGATGCAGACCTTTAGAGTCAGGCATGGACGAGAAACAGCAAACCCAAAGGCCACAACAAGAGTAATTGCAGATACAGCAGCACCAGCAAATGGTGGATAAATATTCAAACTGGCAACAACTCCCCATCCTTCAGTTGCCAAAGCAATCCCATAAAGCATGAGAAAAGCACCACTGTTTGAGAGGTGATGCACAAGCATTATAGGTGAATAAAGAATGAAGCTTTAGTATGGTTATCAAAAATTATAATAGAAAACAAATGACAAGAATTAGAAATCCATGAACATATAAGAGAGATGAACAACAAAGAATTGATAACAAACCTGACATTCTTTCCACAATCTGCATGGGCATCATAAACATAAACAGGCAGCACTCGTGGTGAATAAACTACAATGGGTGGAGACAGAAGGACCTGGAGGGACACATGTGAGTGCAGCGAGGGAAAGAAAAAGAATAAATTGAGAAAAACAAATTCCACTTGATAAAATGAAAAAGAGAATAAATATTAAAGTCAAAACTTGAATGAAGTTAATGTGATGAAACTTACAGTCAATGCTCGTCCAGCAAGAAGAAACAGAAATGAAAAATAACCAACAGATGCTCCCACAAAAGGCTTGCCTGAAAAGAAAGGTAAGAAATTTAAAGTCACTGGCTGGTTGTCATTATGCAATAAAGCCATGAAGCAAGTCTGCCCAAGACTAGGAGAGTAAGCAGGTGGTAGTAATGCTATTTGTTTTCACCTCCAAACCATCCAACAAGAAATGCAGCCAAGCCCAAAAGAAAAGCAAGGAAACAAACAAAGAGCATCTGTGTCCTGGTCAAATAGAAATTGTTTGAAGCCCAGTGATGGATAACACCAATAGCTAGTACGATCAGAAGAAGAATTAAGAGGAATGCTACCCCTATCTGTTGCAATTGAGAGAAAAAAGAGAAGCAGGTTAAATAGATTTACTACATCTCAAGGATAAGAAAATTCAGGGATGCATAAAAAACCCCACTTACAGTCCATGGCTGAACTACAACTATAACAGCAGATATTGCACCAAGCAGCAGCAGAAGACCAATAATAACAAATATATATACACCTCGAGAAAGCTTCCAATCATCATCTTTCCTGCAAACGGTTTCTATAGCACATTAAATGGCTGAACGAATGCCCACTTGCAGCAGTATGCAAATATCCAGTCATGGTTTGAGAAGTAAACTTCAGTTATGAAAAAATGTTACAATAATTCTCACCATTTAAGCAATCCACAGCAAAGTGATAGCAATGCTGGAATGCACACAAGAGGAAGTAGGGCAGCAAGAAAATCACCCTTTGTTGGAACCTGGTCATCCCTAGATTGCACTACTTCCAAATAGGATGCACCACAAAATGCCACGAGAACAACTACCAAAACAGCAACAGGAAGTAAGATAAAACCGCATGCTGACCCATCCAATTTTTGATAGACCTAAATTGCAAACATTAAAGACCAAGAAAGTATAGACAAATTACCTGCAAATATCCCAACACATACAGCAGAAGACATGGAAAACCGATATGTTGCAAACCAGGAAATAATCGGTAGCACACCCGTGACTATTAAAGCAATTGCAGATGCCATCACCCAACCAAGGTATGCTGGTGATGCATAAGGAGAAGTAAAGCTTTTTTGACCACTGGTCAATGCCCTGTATCCTAACTCATCTAGAGGCTTTGCAGACACAATTGCACCCAGAGCTAACACAGATCCAATAAATACTATCGTGGAAACAACAAGAACAATACCCTACCAAAGACAAGAAACTTAACTAGAATCAATAAAGGTTTAATCTAGCAAACCAAAGTCCATAAAGAAAGAGCATGATATAAAAATATAAAAAAACAAAACAGGTGATAACTCCTTTGAAACATAGACTTCCAAAATGATAGATCTTATTCTTGAATTGTACAAAATCAAAGGTGAAGGTTGGAGAGCGAGAAGGAACAAACCTCCTTTATCCCAGGAGGACGATGGTTTCCAGCATGACCTGCAGACTGCACTTGAGGAACCCAAAACTGGTAGCCATTGTGAATCCAAATAGGAATTGCAACAGAAAGACAAGCCACCATGAGTGGGACGGTCAAGGATAATCCTAGAAGCAGTGACGATTTGCTGCATATGAGGAAATAGAAATTAATGCATTACAAGGTGAGTAGTGTGGAGCCATCTGTAGCATTCCATAGAATCATTCACAAAGCAGGCTATATACAGTAAAAAGGCAGTGCCTTGAAAGGAAAATTCTAAAATGATATATCTTATTAAATTAAATATGAAATTCACCATACCTCAAGAAGGAAAGCAACAATCCAACACCAGTGCTGAGCAGCCAAGCAATAACACCATACTGAAAAAACAAAGAAGTTCAAGGAAGACATAAGAACGCCATGAATTCAGACACAAGTCCTATATAATCAAGGAGAAGGAAAGGGTTTAAATAGTATAAAGACATAGGCTAACAGAAAGAACAAACAAAGGCAAATTTTACACGGACTTGTGAGCATATACACATAAATAAGAAAAAAGAAAAAAAAATTGAAGAAATTACAATGTTCAATAATATCTACCTTGCGAGGTTTTGATGTCATGGACATTTCTTCTACTTGAAGTGACCGGAGGAAAGTCATAATTGAGCAAACAACAAGAGATAATAGAAATACTGCAATGCCAAGCTCAAACTGCAACATAAATTGTTTCATCAAAATTAAACATGATTTTTGTTTACCATCATTAATCTGACATAAATCTTTATAATAATAATAATAACAATAATTTAAGAAAAATCTTACAAACTCTACTCACCTGTTGATGTGTGGTATTTATAATTTTAATTATCTTAGGACGAACAATTGCCACAATAGCTGTTTCCACAATGAAGATGAAACTAAAGAGAACCCATGCTCGCTCAGGAGTACCTGCTATGTGATGTAGAACAAATCTAGACAGCTGAAGCCACTTTTCAAGCCCCTGAAGCCTAAGTTCTTCTGATAGAGAAATTTGATTGGGCATAACATTGTCAACACTATTTGCATCGACTGTGATATCAGTATTGTCACGATGATCTCTATCTGCATCCAAACTGCTCCTCTGGAGTAATGCCAGAATAGTGGGATCCAAGTTCTTCTCCTTTAACATCATGGCAAAATTAGGATCCAGTCCTTTATCCTGAAGTAAGGTAGCCAATTCTCTATCGCCTTGCCTTGCCCTCTTTTTCAGCATAGACGTAATCCTAGGATCATTCAACCTTTCCTGAAATGCAAGAGCAAGGTTCAAATCTAAAAGTTGTTGATTTGCAGAGGTTGATGCACTAGACTCACAGCATTGGCTTTCAAGACCACTGCTAGAGCAAACCACCAGGGAATTATTCGGATCAAAATTTTTATCCCCAGATGTCCCAGCTTCAGGCTCTTGAACAACTGAACGACAAGAACTGCTACGTAGTGCTAAACTCGGCCTTCCACTCTCTGTGCTTTTATCACTATTGATCCCCTCATGAGAACTGGTATTTCGACATAGAACATTATTCCAGTTACTTGCATCAGTTGTGCACTGCATTGTTGACTGGTTACCAGAAGCAACAACATTACCAAGTGGACCTGCTTCAACACTACTACTACGTTTTACACTTGAGCCACAACCTTCAGAAGAGCTAGATGAAGTGTTCTGTTCCTTTCTGCGAAAACCCTCTCTAAGACGAATCACTGTGCTCTGTAAGGCATCTCTTCTAGCAGCTAAAGGATTTGTGACTGACAAATGACGAGAAACAGCAGCACCTAACAGCACAGATGCTACAACAGCATAACTAATGCAATGGCCCAAGTACCTGAAGCAAAGAAAAAGGATGTTAACTATGACAAAGGACAGTTAACAAAACCAATAAATTTACACATCATGTTTGAGAGCAGAGGTGTATAGAACAAACCAGTAATGCACCCCAAAGCAGATGAGAAAAACTCGGGATGTGCCTGCAACAAAAAGTGCCACCACACGGCTTTGAAGAAGCTGAAACCCATACAAGCACGCCCCCATGTTCCAATCTGCATAACAATTAACCACATGAAATTAGATCCAACGGGATAGCTGAAGTTGCATAGACGGCAAAGAGAAAGGCAAAACATAAGTAACCATGGTCATCAATAGGATACCAAGAATAATGACAGCAGCTGATGTAATAAATCCAAGCCAGCGTGCTTCCGTTGCTGTCAAACCATATAAAATGGAATACACAAGCAGAACCACAAGCGAGCCAAAGTATAGAAGTCCAAGATGTGAAGCCCTGTAAACACATTGAGAAGAAGAATAAGTTATTATGGAAGCAACTAAACATATTAGACTGGCTAGGCAAAAAATGTCTAGTTAATAATTTAACACCTGAAAAGGACATTGAACTATTTTAAGCAATTTCATAACCCAGAGTCATACACACTCCCTACTTATAATCAAGCAAGTTATAAATAAATTCAGTTATCAACAGCACCACCTGAAAAGGTTGCACCCACTCTAGTTATGGCTACACAAGACAAAGCAGCACTAACTACTAAGATATAATACAAGATATCTAACATGCAAAGCTTGATCATATGGCTTACCTACTGGATTGCCGAGGGTATAATTCATTGGGGTCAGGTGGCTCTGGTGAGCAAGGCATTGGACCCATTTCTATACAATCACTATAAGCAAATTTGTATGCCCTCCGCACATACTCATCCACATCTAAGCCATTCCCTTCAGGCATTGAGGGAACAGAAAAAACAGAATAAAATATTTATTACGTCAAAAACATATAACAGCAACTAAAGGTTATAGCATCATCAAGACTAGTGTCCTGGAAATCATGAAATCATATCATCACAGTGCAATCCATCTCAGGAACAAATAGTGGAAGCAAAATAATGCCTGACATGACAAGTTAAAGCAAACTCACCATTAAAGACCATTCGACAAATAAAGAGCATGTTAATTGCCAAAGCAATTGCTGATACACCAAAAAAGAAACCAGAGGGTGAATATCGCTCAGATGCATTTTTACCAGCAGTAACATACACGGCACATAGTTCGTAGGCACAGAGTAGGGCAACAGCCAGAAGAAGAAGAATAGCAACTGCCCCTGTAGAGCCGAAATAAAAAAGTTAGACCAAAACAAAAGGCAAGAGAAAACAATGAAATATTCAAAGAACCACATGAATGGCTGAGTTATACAATGATAAAAGCAAACTTTAATCATTACAATGCAAATAAAAAACCATCACCAGATGAACAGGATTAAGAAATTGAGAACATAGTATTTAACAAATGATGAAAATAAAAAATTTATCAATGTGAGACTTCCCAATCTTAACGCCCATCTTTAGTCTGGTCTCATCACAAATAGATACATATGGACCACTAAGCAGCCTACAGATAGACCAATATATGGAGTTCAAGTGTCTAATGAAACCAGCTCTAATTCCATGACAATGCGAGAGTTCTCAGTTAACAAGTGGCTTAAGGTAATAGACCTTCCTTGGGCAATAATACCAGCTCTAATTCCATGACAATGTGAGAGTTCTCAGTTAACAAGTGGCTTAAGGTAATAGACCTTCCTTGGGCAATAATACCAGCTCTAATTCCATGACAATGTGAGAGTTCTCTGTTAACAAGTGGCTTAAGGTAATAGACCTTCCTTGGGCAATCATACCAGTAATCAGCTATTAAATTCCCAACACACCCTATCTTGAAAGATCTTAAATTAAGTTTCTTCTAATTGTTCAATCATACTACGGACAAACCATTTTAAAGTTATGGTTACCATAAAATACTTATTTTAGTTCAGAAGTCAACAACTCAAGCTGTCTATGTCCTTTGTTAAACCTAAATATCTGACTGGTTGTTATTAGGCCAAAATGCAATATGTGTAAATATAATTATATTCCCAAATCAATGATCTGAAAAGATTTTTATCATCCCCCTTTTTAATTACATGATCTTTCACCGAAAAGCATCTGCAACTTAGCTAGTCATAATAATGTCCCCCTGTTTATTATTGAGCTTCTTACATCTTTCTTTTCCCCATTTCAGCAGGTTGCTTCCTCTGCCACTTCCTCATATTTGCTTTAGTCCCAACTCCTTGATGCTTAACGGACTTTACTTTCACACTCCCTCTATCTCTCATTATTAATATGCTTATCTGAGTGACATGTTAGAGGTTCAGAATAAAGTTTCTTAATGTGGCAAAAATAATTAATAGTTGTGTTTTCAACTTTCATAGATGCCGTGTTTCTTAAAACCCAAATCCCTGGCTCATCGATGACAGTTTAAGTTTTTCTTCTTTTTTTCACAAAAACCAGCAAGATATCCGATAGTTAAATTTTTCTTCTTATTCCCAAAATGTCCGGTGAAAGCATTGCAACTCACCCCGTCTAACAATACTTAGCTGACCAGAGAATCCCTCATTCCTATAACTTGTGGTCATTGACCCATTCTACACTACTACACCATTGATATCACACAAATCTCAATCTCACCAACAAGGCATCTTCATAGTCTAACATGAATCAATTTATCTCAATGTGAAGATTGAATTCAAATTTAGGAGTGAAACCTGCCCCATTCTCAATAGTATGACCTATCTTCCAATTACTTTTACCTTTGATTAGAAATAGAATGAATGGTTTTCCTATTGACTTGAGGAGTTCTTAACCACTTGGTAACTTGTAAAATAGAGAAATACATAAAGAATAGTATGTTTAACATGAAATTAGAATGCCAAATAAAATCAATTTTAGATAAAATTAAAATGTACATCTATGGCACCGAAGACGGATTCACCATACAAATTCTGCAATAAATAATAAGATAGACAGAAAAGATTTCATTTTCTAGTTAAAAAGTGAAACATAATTCAAAGACAAAGAGGGTAAGGAAATACATACTTGAACTTTGCCATTGTGTTCTCCACCAGAGCATGATTGAATAGAATGCCAAAAGAAGAGCAGTACCAGCCATGATTACAGCCAGACCAATTATATCCCGATGCAATATTACAATTAACCAGCTTCCCCACATGATAAGCATTAGAACTGGAGACACAACAATCACCCATGCAGATAGAGAGAGAAAACGACATAGTATGCCCAGCTGAGGACCTTGTAAAATATATGGCCATTTTCTGGCAAAGATCCAACTGAAAAGAGAAATGCCAACCAAGAAGTAGAGAATGAGAAAAGGATTGAATTCAATTACTATCAGAATACACATAGTTTTATAGTATAACACATTGACTTCATAAATAAGAACGTGGAAAGTAGGGAAACCAATAGAGTACATAAGTGAATCCTAAACATGAAGACAGAAAAGGAAACTGTATAACAGAGGAACATGTATGGTTTACTGATCACATAAAAAGAACAAAAGAAAGGTGCAAAAAGCTCTGGGAAGCTCTATATTTTTATGTTGTCCAGAACCTATAATAACATTCTCTTTTTAAATCAAAGGAAAACTTTTTACTAAAATAGCCTGCTTTCCATTCCATTTGACATCTCCGCATAATCAGAAACAACCAACCATTGTTCAATCACATACCAAATGAAGCCTTAATGTTCAATGAATGACAAATTTAACAAACTAAGGAAAGGCAATAATTAAAACCATAAACTGCATTACAATCCAACATATTATTATATGGGGCAATGCAACCTCAAATCCAAATAATTAACCACCAATTATTACTTGCTATAAAAGGCCACATGAAATCTATGCACTTCAATCACTCTGGCAAGTATGGTAAAAAGATAACTGGAAGTTTCCAAAGTTACTTATCCAGAATTACCTATAAATCCTCCATGGCCTCCAATTCACTGCCCATAGAATCGAACACGAAGCCAAACCCAAAACCGAGAAAAGGATCCCTGAAATTGCACAGGCCAGTACAATCTCATGCCGGTCGCCTTCCATGGCTCCACTCTCCCACCTACTGCACACCAACATGCATCAATACCAACGCCAATTTTTCACAGTAAATACAAAAAAAAATGAGCTGTAAATCCAAAAAAGAAAAAGAAATCAAAACTAAAACACATTGCCCGAAATGGAGAACACTCATGAGAGAGACATTTAAGTGGGTTTAAACTACATACATGAAAACATTAATAAATTACCAGGATAAGAAAGAACCCATCAAAAACTTACTAAAAAGAATTGAAACCCACATAAAGAAAAGCAATGTAGGGTACGGAAAATGGGATTTTTACCTACTAGAGTGAAGTGAACTTGATGGGCAACAGCATCATAGCCTTAATTCATCTCAAAAATGCCATTTTGGAGTACAAATGGATCATAAATTCCAAAGGGTCATCAAATAATTGAACTTCAGCTAGGGTTTTGTTTCTTCTACACAGGCAAGGAAGAGAAGGAAAGTGAAAAAGTTAGCTACTTTAGGGTTTGTTTTGTTTTGTCTGGTGATTGATTGATTAGGTTTTATCTTCTTTGAGAATTTCTCAGCTTCACAGAAGGACAGAGAGAGAGAGAGAGAGTAAAGTTAAAAAACCCTATTGCTAGGTGTGAACTGTGAAGTAAAAAAGAAGGGGTCTTTTTTTCCTTAGAGAGAGAAAGTTCGAGTCTTTAGAAAGAGAAGGAGTGGGACAAGACAAGAAGACTGGAAAAACATGAGTAAAGGCGAAGAGAGTGGTTAAAAAAATAACACCTATGCTTCTGTCCGAATATGAAACATCCCTACTCCCAAACAACCTCGTGTATCGCACTCACCAGTCATGATCTAACACGATGGAGAGGGCCTTGAACTTGCTATGGATTGAAAATGGGTGTGAGATTCTCCATTGTGCATGCTTGTTCGATTTTGCAGACAATTAACCTGAATTTGGAAAAAGAAAGGTTTATTTATTTATTTATTTGTTTTGTTTTGTTTCAGTGTGAGTTGAGCTAAAGTTTTATTTAACGTTTGAGGGTCAATTTGTTGTCATGGGAAGTCATTTTTTTTTATATATATAATTTAGTTGGTGAAGAATTTGTGTCCTCAAAGCTTGATTTATTTAATTAGGTAGAGAATTTTGGAGACGATGTTTTTTATTCTTGATGGAAAATGACTTGCAACCAAACTGGTCGCAGATTCAAGAATCAACATGATCAAGGAGTCATGTGACATAACCTAATTATAGAGATTCCCTTGCAAATCAAAATCGCAATCAGCAATTTGTATTCTATTAGATGCACAAAGAAAAACACAATATATTTACCTACCTAGTTGCGTTGATGGCAATTCCTGTAGATATATACATATAATCAGAATAATCTCTTATATAATTAATTAAAGTGATATTGAATAGATTTTATGCAAATTTAGATTTTTTTATTTAGATCCTAAATTTTTTTTATCTAATTTAAAAATTTACTTTTATGTTATTATTGTTTCAAATCCTATAAACAATTATAGTTTATCACATAAGCACACGTGGAAAGTTTTAGGCAATTAGAGTTTATCGCGTCACTAATTCGATCATCTAATTTGAACTCATCATGACATGTGGTAAGTTATCATTTGTTAGAGCTCATCACGTGTACTTACGTGATACATTAGGACTTGAAACGACAATAATATAAGAAGCAGAAAAATTAAATTCATAGTTAATTTTGGCATGCTTTACTAGGTAGTAGCCAATTAAATTTTGGCGTTGGTCGAAAGCCAGTAGTAGAAATATTTAGGTAAAGTTAGCAAACCAAAAATAATAACACCAACGTATCATTGATTTACACAATAGAAAATAAATGGGTAAATGTTATGTACGGTCCCCACAGTACAGTCAATTATTTAATTAAATCCTTCAATCAATTTAAGTGTTAATTGAGTCTCTGTACTAAATTGATTTTATTTTATTTTTTTGAAAAAATAAAGATTCATCACATTTTTTATTACATTAAAAATTTATTGAGGTTAGAAAAAAATTCAAAATTATTTTTTTCTATTTTTATTACATAAATTACATGTTGAAATTAGAAAAAAAATTAATTCAATAAATGCTAAAATGTAATTAAAATAGAAAGAAAAAATAACTAAAAGGGTCAGTATAATCAAAAGACACACACCGTTGGGTCAGGTAATTTACTTAACGTCATCGACAACACAGGAACCATTCAGATCCTTAACCTGAAAATAAATTGCATTAAAGAACATCTCAACAAGACTAGCAGTTTCGCCACCTTAGAGTACTTAATTTCCAGCGAACATATAAATGCAGGATCTTCAGAAGACGATCTAAACAGGAAATGCACTCATCTTAAACATTGATGTCATTTAAGCTAACATCATAAATAATCTGTGTTTCCTTTAATGCTCTATTGGTTTCTTCACTCAGTAAATAACGACAACCATTTATGAATACAAGGTTGTTTTCTTCTTCTTCTTCCTTTTCTTTTTTCCTTCTCAGCAGGAACCGTAGCAAAGTTCGATTAAGAATGTCAGACCAAGGGATTCATTTGGTGATGAAGAAAGTTTGTTGTCTTTCTTGATTTCTCGAGTTTGAAACTTGAAATCATCACTTCTATTCTTCTAATTAGTCGGATTGATATAGAAATGCATTTTTAAAATTATTCATAAAAAACGAAATACCCATGCATGAAAGAGCAGTCCTGAATATTCAACATTAATTTGGGACGCGTAAAGTTAGAGACAAAGCATGAATTTTGGTAGATTCATGTAGCATGGCCATTGAATGATAGCTTTAAGCCCTAAACTGATACGAGATAGGGAGGGACAAAGAGTTGGTAATAATTATCAGCTTGCGTTTTGTTGTTACAGTAAGAATATTTTCGAATCAGCTCTACGGCCGTAAAAGTTCTTCTAATTGGATTCTGAGCATGTAGTTTTTAGTTTTTGACGATCAAAAAAGACATGAAGGCTAAGGACTTGCTAGCTTGGAGGAAAAACAGAAAGAAGAATTCATCAATGCAACATATTGAATCAAAATTTTCAATACAATAACCATATTTCCTTGTCTTTTCTGGATTGGTTTGCGCTTCCTTGATTAGATGTAGAACAACTGCCTTGTTCCAGGCCTAGCTAGCTAGCCAGTAGCTGCTTTGCTTTTGGTATCTCCAATGGCTAATGGCTTCGAAAGTCACAAGGCGATATATGGTATTGCCCATGCCTTAGGCCAAACCGACGAGAGGAAATACTTCCCTTTATTTATGCATTGTTTTTTTTTTTTTTTGCTTAGTTTCTTCTCGTTACTGTGGTACTGTCCTGGCAGTCTTGAGGTTGGTCTCTGCCTCTCCTGATTTTCTTGTCCTTTTTTGGGACACAAAAGGGCCCCAACCCTAAGGCCCAATCTTGTCTTTACCTCTTGTCTTTACGTTCTTTCTTTCAGTTTTCTGCCCGGGTTCACGTTTCTTCCTGTCTCTGAAAATAAGTAAAAGTGCGGTGGGAAAACCCTAAGCTTTGTTCTCTAGCTGCAGCTAAAGATTTTTACCCTAGGATTTATTTGTCTTGAAACAACAGGAGCTAGTTTGAAAGTCCATGGACTATATAACTTGAACTTTGATTTCTTGTTAGATCTTAAATCTTAATCAACCCTAAAACAGACCTTGGATGATGGATCTGAAAAGTAATCGACTGACATTCTCCTCTCTATTCACATAGAAAACCACCATTTCCAAGGCTTGCAGGACATGTCGTCCTGCAAATTCTCGGTTGTTGGCAGAAAATGACACTTTAGCATCTTAACTAATTTAATCATGCAAATCTTGAAAAATCCATCTATCTTAATTTAATATATTCTGCATCAACGAATCTTTAATTGGAAGCCTTTATTGAAAAGGAAGAACCTCCTGTGTTTTCTGGGGAATGAAGGATTGACAAAGCAAAGTATATATTAGTACTTAAATGGTCAGATTTAGGTGAAGAAAGGAGGGCTCTTAAGCTCTTGACAAAAGCACGACACCTTCCTGAAAAGCATCCTGTCATCCACTCACATGCAACTCTTATTATCCAAATCATTTTTTAAAAATTTTTTGGAAAAGAGAATATTCTTTAAATCGCACAGAGCTCCTCCTAGTCCCTTCCCACACTTCATTTCTTTATTTTTGTATTCTGAACTCTGAAGTGAGGAAACAAAGAAACTGTGGCAAAATTGAAGATTCTGATGGCCAAGATAGGTGAAATTCATTCATTCATTAACAAACCACTCCCAAGGAAGGAGGAGTATTAAGAAACAAATAGAATACAGAGAGAGAGCAAACAAAGGCCTGTTTCTTTTAGCTTTTTAAGAAACTTGGCCACTTACATGGAGAATCTTGGTGAAAAAAAACAAGGGTCAAAACTTCCCACTTCAGAGATGTCACATGTTCACTAACCCAACCTAATAGTAAAAAAAAAACTAGGAAGAGGTATACAAGAGAAGAGAGAGAAAGAGGGAGGCATTAGACTAGGTTGAATGATACATAGGGAGGGGTGAAAATGGGAGTGGGTCATGGACAGTTTTCATTTTTACCAGGGCCCCCATAATAAAAGTAATGGCCCCAATCCCCATTATTGCCAGTTTGAACATCATAGCAGTTAGATTGCTCAGTGAAGGTGCCGATTCCTTTAGGGGCCTTGAGATTGTTGGAGGAATCAACAACTTGAATATTCCTGAAATAACTTGATTTGCCAAACCCTTCTTCAGGGAAGCGACCACTGCCCATTTGAGTGGAGGTGTGCCGGCCATCAGGCTCTGAGTTCACAACCTCACCTCCCCACTCAATCATGGAAGCACTGTCCGCTAAGTATGAGAACAAGAAAGAAGGCCAGTAGCCCAACACATAATCATTGCCGAATTGCATCCACCAGTGCCCCTCTTTGGGATCCTGCAAGAGTTCCAAAATAGCTAGTTAAAAGCGGGCTTCAACTGTAGTAGGAAATAGTGAAGCAGTTTGAGCAATGCAGTAAAAATATATTGCTACAGTATCTAAGACCTGTCTTGTTCCACGCTATGAGAGGCAATGGTAATATATTATTTCTGTATCAATGCTCTATTATCAATTCAGTGAGTGTCCAAATCAATGATCGAAGGAGATAATGCCGAAGATTCTCAGCACCTGCACCACTCAATGATGTTTCTGACACCCTAGCCTCTAGTATACAAAAAAGCAGTACCATTTTTAGCTCCTAATATAGCCAAAGATGAATCATTACGTAAATTTGAACCATTCAGAGGGACGGTTTACACATGCATCATTACATAAATTTGAACCATTCAGAGGGACGGTTTACACATGCATCATTACATAAATTTGAACCATTTTTATCCTTGGCTCCTACATATGGAAAATCTTACTGATGACCTTGGCATCTAGCTATTCAACTTGGAGCTGAAAGTGAATACGAGGGCCTTGGATTTTACCTTCCAGACAAGTATACTGATATCGTATTGGGAACTGCGAAAGCCAGAAACAGGAGAGATGCTTGCTCCCATTGCTATCTCACTGTTGATTTGAATGAAGCCTGAGCAAAGGAGATTGTAGCAACCTGTGGCTTGATAGGCATCACTCTGTAATATTTGTTGCATAAGAAAAAACAACAGTGAGTAAAATCTATTAGCTAATCCATGAAAGTTACAAGATTAATTTAAGGAGTGACAGGATTAGAAGCTTACAGTCCAGTAGGTGAAGAGCCTTGTGTTGTTATCACCATACAGATCTGGACTAACCTGTTTCCATTCATATTGCAAGCATTAAAATAAGGGATGATGTATGAAAAACGAGATGGGGTTATTTGTCTCCATCATAAAAGGTCAATTATTTCCTGCCAAACTAGGATTAAACTAATTGGAATAATTACCTGCCAACCAGCTTCAATGCTGTTGAGATCTTGACCAAACGAACCTCCCAATATCCACAGTTGAGACAAGCTGAATTCATTAGCCTGTTGTATTTTGGGTTCCCATACATTAATGGTTGCTTTCGCTCCATAATACTTATCCCCTTCCACATAAGCTATTGCATGCTAATCACCCGAAAAAGAATTGCCAAAGAAAAGAAAAGAACATTAGGAACAAACAGAGGATGACAAAACCAACAAAGTTGATGGCAAAAGCTGCTTTAATATGATGCCTTAAAATAAATTATGTTCTCCTAAGAGAAGGAATAAAAAGAAGAAACTTTACCTGGTGACCACTTTCATTGATGAGATCAGGATCTGCAGACCTGGGCTGAGGGATGGCTCTGTGCTTCTTCTTGCCATATCTTTTCACAGAGCTAGCTCTTAAAACGTCATCCTTCTTCGTTCTTCTAATGGGTATAGTACCTTCAGGGCATTTACCATTCACATGCCACAACTGAGTAATAGGGTTTGTTGTGCCTTTGGATTCTGTAGACGCCTTGTTATCATCAAAGACCCGCCCTTCTGGATGGTAACTAGGTCTCATCTAATTAACCAAAAAGAAACCCCAAAACATAAAATCAGTAGAAGCAAAAACCAAAAACATGAAAAATGGATAGACTTTGAAGTTAGTGGCTGAAGATGATGGACCTGAATCTTGTGGTCTTTGAGGTAGGGGTGATCAAAAGCTGGCTGATGAGACATGTGAACACAGTCAATTGTATCCCCATCTGGACTCTGTATAGACATTAAAAAATCCAAAGAAAATAGTGAGAAATCTTGCAGTAATACCCAAAAAAATTTCAGTCCAACAAATTACCAAATCACGCTAGAGATTAATCTATCAGTGAGCTCTTAAGCCCACATATAAAAGAAAGTAAAAAGAGAAACCACAGTGCCCACTTGCATTTATGTTTTATTTTCTTGCTTAGAAATGTGAAGTACAGAAGCAATTAAAACTTGCAGTCTCATGTAAATTCTAGCTTCAGTTTCTTTCTTTATTGCTTCAATAACTATCCAAAAAGGGACATCATTATATGGGAGAGAGAAAGAAAGCAAGAAGGAAAATAATCGAAGCATCATTGTTGCTTCAAAATAATAAAAATTCAAAGAAAAGATGAAAAATTTGATGGTCATCACAGAACAACAATAGGAGAATTAAAGAAAACCCATTTACATTGTTGACCCACTTGACCACTGGGAAAATGCAAGAAACCATTAGAAAATAAATGTAGTACTAGACCCCATAAATCCACTATTAGGCTTAACTCGAGCCAACTTCTTAAGCCATTTAGCAACCAAACAAACAAACGAACCCAACTTTAAAACACATTTTCCTTCACTTTCCCTCACTTTCTCAGTAACCAAACGGAACTCTAAGGGGAGAGAAAAAAAGTACCTCAATGCTTTTAACAGCTGGCTTGTTCAAACGGTTCAAGTGTTTTTGAACCTCAAGTTTCTCTCTTGACACGCTCAATCTAGCAGCGCAAGATAGTGAAACCAAACTCCACAAGCAAAAAACCAGAGCCAAAACTCTGTTTCTGCTAAAATGAGCAGCACCACCACCACAAGCACAAGAACCCATCTTTACTAAAGAAAGAAAGAACCCACAAAAAAACCAAAGCAAACTCTTCCTTATCCTACGCCTCCTTTGATGTAGGCTAAAGCTTTAGCATAGCAGCAAACACTACGACACTACTCCGCTACCATGTGAGAAATGTGAAGCGAGTGCTTAAAAGACTTGAACTTTTTAGTTATCTCCTTCTGCTTCTGCTTATCCTACGCACCCACTTAGCTTTGTAGTGGGTCTTGCTTGTTGTGCTCTGTTTTCTTAAAAAAAAAATCCAATTAAACCCTGCCTTCCCCACTTCTGCCTTTCTCTCTCTACCTCAGGAAAAAAAAAACACTCAACTTTCTTCCTTTCTTTCTCTCTTCAAAAACTTACCTTTCTTGTCATTTTCTCTTTCTCTCTCTACTTTTCCATTAATAAACTCTGTCTCTATCCCACTCCTATTAACAAATAGCTCAAACCCCACTTTGGTTTTCCAAGTTTCCAATTTCCACCATGTGATTTTTCTCCTTCACTCTCTCTCACCAGTCTCTGTTGAGAAAGAAAATAAATGTTTTTTTATTGTTTTCTTGATTTATTTTTGTGCTTTTATAATTAAATAAATAAGGGGTAAAATGGGAATTAAGTAGGTTTTGTGGGGATGGTGAAAGGAATGGCGGTGGAAAAATGGGACAATTTTTCTTTGTCTTTTTCAAAAGCCAGCTTTTTGGGAGGCCCCCTTTTTGGTTCCCCATTTTGCCCCACTTTTTGTTCAAAATTGATCCCCACATACAAATTCCTTCAACTATATATTTTATTTCTTTTTTTAATGATATTTGATTTCTTTTCCTATTGCAATTAACAAGCAACAAATTAAATGTAATTAATGATTTATTTAACAAGCAATCCTATAGTAATTTTCTTCCTTAAATGGTACTGTTACTTTACATTATTTACAAAATAAAAAAAAACCCAAAATTACTTTATGAATTTCTTCTTTTTTTTTTTTTTACCATTGATTTACTAGCAAGATAAACATTCTGAAAAGGTGATGATATAGCAATGGACTTTTGCCTCTTGGTAAGTTAAAAAATTGTAGAAAGAGTGAAGGGTGCCTAGTCAATTTCTTGGCAATGGTTAGGCTCAAAAACCTAAAAATTTTCCCTTTTCACTCCATTGTAATGCTGAACTAGATGCTTTTTTTTGCTGTAATTTTACACTCGTAAATCTAATAATTTTTCATATGGAAAATAATAGTCAATATTATTATTATTATGTTATTGTTATTATTATGACTGCTTGAATTTTAGGGAAACAAGTTTGCTTGTGATTAGTGATTGAGATGGTAATCTCTATGGCCCTTTGACTATAATTAGGTGAGGAAAGTCCTTTATTCCCATGCCTATAATTGCATATTTTTAAACCACAATCCGAAGGAATCCAAAGAGGAGGAGAGGAAAAAAAATTCCAATTTTATTGTATCGTGGACAATAATATAATTATTCTCAAAGAATCATATACAACTAGGGGTTTTATGCACGATGATAAAATAATATTTTATGTTAATATTCTAGATAGAGATTCTTCTGTTTCGATCATATTGTTGATTTTTTTGTAATAAATAAAATCAAGTGTAGTTTGTATGTTCTATGACAAGGATTAAGAGCATCTTCAATGTTCTTTTTATATTAAGATTTTTCTTTATAATAAAGAGGTTTGGCCCAAATTTCATTTCCAATGCTCTATTTATCACAATTTATATCTTTAAAATTAATATAGAGAATGTCTTTGGCTTTCAATACTAGAGAGTCCAAATGACTCTTTATCTTATATTTCATTTATGAAAATTACTATTTCCTATGTCACTCAGCCTTCTTCACCGTAGTGTCTCCGGATTTTATGGATTTTGTCAAAATATAGAGTTAAAGTAGAGAGTAGCATTGAAGAGGACATTGATCTTTAATCTATATAATTAACGATGCTCTATATTTACATTAAAAAGACTAATTAAAAATAAAGAGCACTATTGGAGATGCTCTAAGAGCATCTTTAGTGGTGCTCTCTATTTTTAGTTTGTATTTTTAATATAAATAAAAAGCATTATTAATTATATAAATTGTAGATTAATATTCTCTCTAATGCTATTTTCTACTTTAATTATTTATTTTGACAAAATCTAAATAAACTATTGATTAAGAGGTCGAGTGGCATAGAAAATAATAATTTTCACTAATAGAATATAAGATAAATAGTCATTTGGACTCTCTAATATTTGAGAGTCGGAGACACTCTCTATCTCAATTTTAAAGATAAAGATTGTGATAAGAAGAGCATTGGAGATAAAATTTAGGTTAAATTTTTTTTATTATAAAGAAAAATCTTAATATAAAGAGAACTTTAGAGATGGTCCAAGGAAGATAAGGAAAATAATGGGATAGTGGCCTTAGAGCATCTCCAATTGTGCTCTTTACTTTTAACTAACATTTTTAATGTAAATAGAGAGTATCATTAATTATATAGATAGAAGATCAATATCCTCTCTAAGGCTACTCTCTATTTAACTCTTTATTTTGACAAAATCTATAAAACTCATAGAGACTATTGGTGAAGAGGTTGAGTGGCATTGGAAATAGTAATTTTTATTAATAAAATATAAGATAAATAGTCATTTAGACTCTACAGTATTGGAGAGCAAAGACACTCTTTATATTTATTTTAAAGATAAAGACTACGATAAAGAGAGCATTGGAGATGAAATTTGGATCAAAACTCTTTATTATAAAGAAAAATCTTAATATAAAGAGAATATTAGAAATGGTGTAAGGAAGATAAGGAAAATAATGGGACAGTGGCCTTATAATTCTGGAATCAACTGGTTAAGCATTAAATAATAATAAAAAGAATAAAGAATGTTTAAAATTCGTGGTCCAATTTGTACAACACAAAGGAGGCATAAGGCTCCATTCTCCACGACAATAAAATATGTTGTTGTAAGAGCTCACATTTCTAACAAAGAGAACATTTTGTAAAAAAATTCATCATTCTTGTTTTTTCACCATAAATATAGCAATGGCGTCTAAAAAGCAGTCTATTAAGAAAACAAACATATTCTGCTGCTAATTTAATTTAATAAAGTATAATTTTAATATCAAACAATGTGAAAAATATTCTTGTTTTTATTATAAAAATAAAGTAATTATGTTTCAGCAGCAGTTTAACGATCGATTAAAAATAAATGTATTTTAATGCTGATTTAAAACCCTAAAGTTTGAAAATATTTTATTCCCTATAGGTACAAAAATTAAAATATAGACGTAATTTAATGTTGATTTAAACCTTAAGGTCTGAGAATATCTTATTTCCAATGTTAAAAAATATATGTATTTTAATGCTAATTTAAAACCTTCAAGTTTGAGAATATCTTATTCTCTGTAAATATACAAAAAATTAAAAAATTTTTAAAAAAAAAAGAAAAAAGAGAAGCAAGAGTGCGGTTTAAGGCCACACCATTGGATTATCCACGAACGGTGGTACATAAGTTTGAGTTTGAAAAAATGTTGGAAGCAGATTTTAGTTTAATGTAATATAATTATATAAGTTGGCATCATTAACCAATGCTTAAGTTATTAGCTCAAATCAGCTCCTCGTTTACATTTCCCAGGCATCAAAGCAAAGACAAGACATTAGTGGTAACTCCAATTGCTAATTGTCTTTTGTCTTTGCTAACTAAAGCACTAATCTTTTCCGAAAAATGTAAAAAGAGAATCTTACACATTAACCATCAAATATCAAGAAACCCATCGTAGAAGAAACAAAAATCTCATGCATCCATTCCATCAAGAGGATATTCAATTTGGAAGATTTATATGTAAGTTATAAACTAGTGTATCTTTTGTATTTATACAACATGTATCCGTGTTTAAATATATTTTTTATTGTATCTTACGTATTTAACTGTATCTAACGATGCATATGTATTTGAAACGGATTTAATATGGCTACGAAGATTTTTTAAAATATACGAGTTATATATATAGTGTAGTATTTTTAGATTGGTTTTTATATTAACCGATATTAAATTTATTATTTTTTAAGCTAAATTAATGTTAAAACATATTTAATTTTTAGTCGATATAAAAACTTATTCATCATTCAGAATAACATAATTAGATCTAAACATTGATTAATACAACTATTTAACGAGATAGATTTAACTTTGTTTTAAGTGTGTTTGTATTTTTTTATGAGAAATTTTATTTTAATGTAGATGGTCTTCATTAATGATTAATTTAGTCTTAACATTTGAAATTGATTCAATGATATCCAAAGTTTTTTGTTAAATAATAATAATCATAGACGAAATAGAAAAAAAAGAAATAATAATAGGGGTTTTTTTTTTTTTTTTTGTACTGGGTATTGTACATTTGTACTGCCACCTGTGTTTTCCATCCCAACGGCTTAGTATTTGAAAAAATAATTTTATAATAATGACAGTGAAGCTGGTAATTAATGGTAATTAAAGGGCACAAGCAGAAATTCTCGTTCCCTAGGAAGCGGTCTCCTCTGGCTTCATCTCCTCGTTTACTGCCACCTAGGCAGTACGGTACTAGCAGGCGGAGCATAGCCGTTATGTCCTTTTAACGCCGTTAATCACCTCACGCGCCCGTCACTCTTACCTCCATGACCGCCACTCATTACGGTACACGAACGACGTGACGTATAACCCAAATAAAAAAACAAACGCAACACGTGTGGTTGCATCACCAACCGTATAAGTGTAACAGACTCGTGCAAGAAAGACGCACCCGTGAGTAAACGGCACACATCACGAGGAACGAAGGGCAGAAATGAGAGAAAGGTTAAAAGAGGATTGACTGCTGATGGTAAGTAGTAAACAGTTGCAAAAGAGAATCCAATGGGAAAAACAGTTATAGAGTCATCATTAACCCGACCCAATCAAGCTCATGGGGTCAATCCGCCGGTCAACATCTAGATTTATAGGTCAGGTTATTTCAATTATTTTTTTTACTACATGGGTTTTAATTAGATCCACAGATAATCGGAGTTTTCGTTTGATCATTTGGTTATTTCATTCGATTTCGAAATATTTTAAATAATTTTTAATTAATTAAAATTTTTTAAAAATAATCGAAATTAAAAAAATAACAAATACATTATAGATAAATAAATAATAAATTATCTACTTAAAAAGATTTGAATTTGAAACGAAATATAAAATCTATCAACGTTTTTACTATTATGTGTACATCTAGGCTTATAACAGAGATAAAAAAAACATGTATGAAACTGTTGAAGAAAAATGCATGTAGGAAAAAAGAGTTTTTCAATTTGAGGATGCATGGAGTGATCTTATATATATATATATATATATATATATATATATATAT